ATGACTAACTGTGGTCTCCATATTCAAACTGTGGCTACAGCAGTAATGGGCAGAAGAAAATGCGCACGGGCTCCAGAAACCTCGTCAACGGGAAAATATTTGTCCATGTCCACCACCTCACCCCCTACCCATAATTCAGCGTTCCTTCTCGGGGTGCAAGGGGTGCGAATACTTTCACCCGTACCAGTACAGCACATACCGAAGGCTCCGGTTACACCACAAACTTTGGTTACTGAATGAAAATCCCAATGCTGGCTTTCAGTTCTGAAACCAAACGGGCATAACTGGAACGAAGTCAACAGTTTGCGGAGTTTTTGTTGGTTTGGGGTGAGGGGGGGATATATTCTTCATCCAAGTTTGCAAGTAAATGAACAAACATAAATGAACAACGGACAAATACATAAACGAAAGAAGAAGTGAATTAATTAACTGGAATTTAAACTTAATTGGTTTTGGATGAGCAGAATATATGTTCAGATTTGCACGTAAATGAAAAACTGTAATTTATTAATTCATATGTTTCGTTTGGTCTGAATGAATGAACTAACATATGAATAAACAAATCAATGAATTGTAAGGGTGTAACGATTTCAACATGTATCGAAAAATTGAATCTGAAATGGTGAGTTGAAATTTATAACTGTATCACCGATACATCCCTCGGACTCTCATTTATCATCTGTAATGTCAATGTGTCATTTAGAGCAAAGTGGGCAGGAAAAGGGGGGGTTCATGATATGCCTGCACCAACTTTCAAATGACTGAGATGTTTATCAATTATAAATTTTAAGGGTTATGATTTTTGGGGTTTACTTCGTTATAAGGTAGCATGGCAGACAAGTTCTGTTCAAGAACTTTTATTTACCTGAGCCAAACCAATGTAGCATAGGATAATTTTAACCGTCTTTAACGTCCACAACATCGAAACAGAACTGAACCTTGACCTCAGAACTGGAAATTGATTCGAACCTGAAAATATGCATTGCTGTGCTCCTAGTGCATATGCATGTAAGCTGTGTGTATGGTGCATTAATACATCAACATTAACTCTTTATTTTTGCTGCATTGAAAACTGTATTGTGTTGAGACACCACTGTACTATATCAAATCAAATATTAAATTCTGTGTGTCATTCTACCCATATGGTAAGTTTTCAAAGGGCAAATCATAAGGCCTGACCATCAACTTCACTTGTTCCCACCCAAGATGAAGCAGTTACTGGGAGGATGAAGAAGAGGAGATGACCTTTGGGTAGGTAGACCTAAAAGGTGATTACAACAGATGTCAAAACATTTGAGCCGGTCAGTAGAGTGTTGGGTTTGTTTTACTAGCCATGCGGATCATGGTTTATGGCCGACAACTGCAGGATCTCCTTCTCTCTTTCCACCCCTCCCTACAAGCCTTCTCCTTTTCCTTCCCTATCTGTATCTCTTGCTGTTTTTTACTCAGTTATGCTTTAAAAGACAGAGCCTGAACGCTCATCTCCATTAATGAAAAATGCAATGCGCTGAATTTGCTTAACTCAAATGTGTACATAATTTCCACAAGAATAAAATATCCACACAATTATTGCCAAAAGTAAGTAAACTAAAGGACAAAGCATTGTTGATGTACTATATTTTATTTGTGTGGAAATGACACAAAAAACATCTGAATCGAATAAATCCGATGCAGTGCTTTCTTTGGTGTACCGTTCAATGCGATACACTGTAGTTCTCTTTAAACAAGGGCTTGTAGACGCAGTCAGGACACACACTCTCATTAACTCTTCCTTACATAATAACACGCCAGCTAATAGCACCTTGACCTAGCACTTTCATTCGCCAAGACAGTGTCACATGGTTCATCAGTAGTATCTCCTGAGGCCGAGGCACAGGCGGGCAGCAGATCGGTTGATTGCTGCACAAAGTCACGGTCACTGACCTTTTCACTTCTGTTTACTCTATTCTAGCTTCAGGTCCAGTCCCATTACAAAATGGATGATGGCTGTGAGGTTTGGGGTCTTTTGATATGTACAGGGAGGAGATTTGCTCTATAAACTGTTGCACCTTAGAGCCAGAAGGATAGCTGGCTAAATGGACTATCTTTTATACTCAGGATAAGGATATAAAAATGGTCCTGGGCATCTGCCGCAAGTGCACAACCCTTTACATTCATCCTCTGCAGACAAAACACTTTTGGCACACAAATTGCTTTGTACATTTTGTGCTTTATTTCTTCTTTTATGTGAAATCATCTGCAGACTTGTGCATGATCAGCAGTGGGACAGCACAAAGCCCAGCTGAAAAATGCAAGCTTAAGTAGCTATACTGTCTCTGGCCTATCCAAAAGAAACTAGCCTGGCTCTCCTCACACAGCTGAGGCTGGGGTCTTCAAAAACACACACGGAAATGCCTTGTTTTTCATTTCCCTTAAGCTTTTTAAGCTCTAGAGATATGGTTAACTGCGAGTGAATAAGCCCTGGTGAAGCCGGGCGATAAGCCACGACCTCAGCATGGCAGTGTGGATAAGAAAGAGCCGCACAACAACTTGAACATGGGTTTTCCAAGTAGTTTGGCTAACTTCTCCAAAAGCCCCAGCATGCCCATTCACTCTCACAACAACAATTCAGATTCCACATATGCATTTACAGGAGGGGGATGTTTAGGGCAAAAATGAGCAAAGACCATAAACCAATACTGTAATTAGCAGAGGAGGCTAGAGCAGCCTAAACCCATACTCAAGTAAAAGCAGTGTTACTTCAAAGCAATAATGACTAACGTAAAAGCAATTCTACAAAAAGTAGAAGTACAAAAATACCAGGTCTTACATACCTGCAGGGGAACGTCTCAGCACATTCAGCATCTATCAACATTCAAACTAAAGTTTGCCAGGCTCTGCTCGTCTCTCTTTGGTCTATAATAAAATGATAAAGCTGAAAGGCCAATTACAAGGCAGTACAGATGCTGTCATCAGTATCGCATAATGAAATTAAAGACAAAAAGGGACTAATAATTAAATGTTAATGAGGAAAATGCAACGGAGTGAAATTTTATTTCCACACAGACACATTTGAGTAGAAGTATCTGAATAATATGAAAGCCATTCTTTAAAACAACCCCCAAAAATACCCTTTTTGGTGATCTATAGCCTTGAACCATTATTTAAAAGGCTCTTTAAAGAACCACATACAATGGAAGAACCATGTAACCGTGCACAGAACCATTTCTGCAAGGATATTTGAGTCCACGCATCTATTACCTTAACGAAATAACCCCTTCTTAAGGCTGTAACTGAGTAAATGTATGTAAGTTATCACCCATCTCCGCACGTTAGCAGGTCAGAAGTGACTACAGCGCTCTGATCTAACAGCCCTGGTCTGCACTAACGTCCAAGCACATGCCTCAGAGCCTGCAGCACAGCCCTCCAACACAGACCCGTCACCCTCGCGTGTAAGTCTCTAAAACGGTATTTCAGCTGCGAGCTGTAAAAAGTTAAGGCGGCAGTCACGACTTGCCACGTTAACACTGCATTTAACGAGTGGAGCCCCACGTGCACGAGCGGGAGCACACGGCCAGCGCGAAGCAGCCGTGCCTACGGGTGTGTGTATGTTTGTGTGCGCGTGCTGAATCGGACGGGACTCACTCACTTTTGCACTGGAGCTCCACCATCGCCTGGAACCACTCGTCCTGGTCGGCCTCGTTCTCGGCGGCCACGGCGAAGCTCTCGGCGCGCGTGTACAGCACGATCAGATGCTTGTTCTTGGCGTCGGCGCGCTTGTTGATGTTGAGGCACGTCTCAAGCGCCACGGCCCGCTTGGGCACGGGCGCCTTGCCGCGGAATTTCTTCTCGCTCTCGTAGTACTCGAGGCGCGCGGGGCCGCGCTCGGACGCCGCGCGAAGCACGAAGTAGCGCCGGTGCATGGACTTGTGCTTGCGGAGGTAGCCGCTCTTCCGCACGTCCTCGCAGCTCGGAGTCTCGCAGCCCTGCGACTCCATGCTCTCCGGCGCAAAGTTTCAGCCCAAGCACGCCAGCGGCTGAGAGCGAGCGGGGCTTACTCGTTACTCCCTCTCTCTCTCTCACTCTGCCGTCAGAAAAGTCGCTCGTGTGAACGAAAGCGAGCGAGAGAGAGTGAGAAAGCGGGAGAGGCGCGCGCAGTTCTTTTCCTCCCTCTTGCCAAAAATAATGTCATTAGCTCGAAACGGCGCCTGTCCGAGCTAAATCGGTGGTGACCCTCTCCGTTCAGACGAGCTCACACACACACACACACACACACACACACGACGCGCCGTCTACGACAAAAGTGCGTCCCGGCCCAGCCTGTTTACAAAGCTGAGCACTTCAATCTCATTACTGTACAGTAGGACGGAGTGTGGGACTGTTCTCCGCCTCTAAAGCCTTTAGCCTGGCCCACGGACGGAGCTACTGTGGGGGCCCGTCTGTCACTCAGCGCCCCTCCGTACTTACAGTGTGTGAAAGAGAGGAGGGGGCGAGAGAGAGAGTAGGGGAGAGGAGGTATAGAGCAAGAGGGGGGGAGGTAAAGAGCACGAGGCTGCTGAGCAGAATCAGATTTCATTCGCTGCTGCACTGTCCACACCGTTGCCTTTTAGGCAAACTTTCCCTTTACTAGCCTTACTTCTGACGCGTTGCTTCGACTGTACAACTGCCACAGAATTAGTGCTACTAAATGCAACAAAATGCTGGAATGTTTACAAATGACATCAATGGAATGGTCGCGTAGTAACGGAGAATTGTTAATAACGGTTGCACAGCAACCAAGCATTATGACGAAAGCACGGCATATTAAGAGTAAAACCGCAATATAGTTCTACAGATCACTCCCTTTTTGAATGAGGTACAACTACGATGTGGGCTTCAGTCTTGTTTCTCATTGGCTCCTGTTTTGGCTCAGTTATCTTGCGACCTCTGCTGGAGCTTTCGAGGCGCTACACGCTGTCATTTCTGCTGGCTATTTTGAGGGCGCTGCAATCATCCTGAAATAATAATTGGGCTAGGTCACATTGAAGGTGAAAGTAATAGCTTTCTTTTTAATTTCCAGTTTAAAGCCCTAAAAGAAGTGCAAATACATTCATAATGCAATGATGATCTTCCACAGATTAAAAAATATAAATGCCAATGCTATTTTAAAAAATAGATATTGCATGAAAATCCTGAAGCAGCAAATTCAAGGTGATGCTTTGTTTCCATGTACAATACACCATTAGGTACACACTGACGCAAAACAAATATGAAGAGCAGTTTTATGCATACGGATGCTTCTCGTAAGGACATTCTAAACAAATCAGTCTAAAAAAAGAGACAGGAAAAAAAAAATCATGTATAATGAAACCTGACGATATTTGGTCCTGAATATTATAAACATGAGTAACACAAATAACACTTTTTGAAATCAATGAACTTGCTGTACATCCAACAGCTTTCCGCTCACAAAGCGCATGCAGTCTGACAACACACAAAAAAGAGGTCTAAAAATTAACCATAAAATAAAAAACACTGATGTTAAAATAAATACGAAAAGGCCTTGCATACATACACAAATACGTAAGAAAGCCTAAAGCCTTTTTTAGCACTCTCCTATTAACATGCTTTAAATTGGAGAATAGAAGGCTATCAAATTGGAGCTAAGGAAAAATGCACAGCTCATATTAAGAATATTTAAGCTTAAGTCACCTGCTGCCCTCTTTTATTCTATAAAGCCTAGAACTTGATACTGTAGGGTTTTTTTGCTGAAATGCAGCTTGGACACAAGCTAAAGGCTAGACACGTTTTACTGAGAGGGCAGAAGCAGGAGGTCAAAGCAGCTGTATGTGTGTCTGTAATGGCCTTCTTGCTTTTGCACCATGAGATGCTTTTTATTATCAAACACATCAGACATATGGCAAGAACACACACAGACACACACATTTAAATGAATGAACACACACACACACACACACACACACACACACACACACATACACACACACATGCACACACAAAGCTTTGACTTATAGCATGTGGTGCCAAAGGTGCACACATATACTCATACACACACAAGTAGGAACATAGACAAAAGTAATACACTCCAATGCACACACATTAACCAACACAGTAAAATGGGCAGGCATGTGTATTTCCCCCCTTATCTGAAGGAGGGAAATCTCTGGAGGCATGGAAATGGCACCAGCTCTAAAGAGCTTTCTGTCTTTCTCTCTTATATACACACACATTCTCTGTCTGTCTCTCTCTCGCTCAGTCTCTCGCTCCCTCTCTGGCCGTGGGGCACTGGGATCAGATGAAAGGGTTCAGTGACGCTCCTCTGGTGGGGTAAACATTCCCCTGAGAGAACAAATGGAGAGAACAGCAGTGAACTACACACTTGTGCACACACACACACACACACACACTTACTTACAGACAAGGACACTCGTACTTAAGCACACTCGCAAATGACCCACTCATGGAAATTCATGGAAATAAGAGTATATTTTTAGCCTAATTCTATTCCTTTAACCTGGTTATGAAATCTAATTATGGTATGCAAAGTAAACTAAGGTCTAAACTAAGTTCATGTACACTAAATCTTGTCCAAATTGAACTTATTACATTACATCTAAGGGTAGAAGAGAACTGGAAGGAACTGGATCATGCATTCATATATTACTAGGCAGCAGAGAGGAGGGCTACTTACAGTAAATGGGTTGACAGACATGGATCGCTGGACTTTGGAGGTGGACTCTGGGGCAGGGAAGGAGGTGAAACCTACAAAGCGAAATATAATCACTCACACCATCCAACATCATTCAGCAGTTTTATTTACCATTTCTAACAAACACATCAGAAGTAGCCCTCACCCACCCAGGTTAGTTAAGGGAGGTAACAAGCAGAAAGTTACTGTGATTAATACTGGGAGAAAGTGATGAATGAATGAATAAATGAGTAAGTAATCCTAGAGCTGTAGTCGTATGTAAAAGTTTGGCACCTTGGTCAAATTACATTTCGTTGATTTTCAAAGTGAAAATAAGTCTGCTTTCTCTACACTTCTGCTCATTTTAACACAATTTCAGTTTATCAGCTGAATTTAAATAATAAAAATTAATGTGACCTGTAGTACATTTTATGTTTAATGTTTCCCCCTCCAAATATGTTAAACTTAAAGCAGATGTGCACTAAATGTGCACTAAAATTTGAAGAAAATGGCATATTTAAACTTGTTCCCTGTACAGGGCATGTTAACTTATTTTCATTTAGAAAATTAACAAAACATGTAATTTGACCAGGGATATTCTTGGTCAAATTACATATTATTCCTTTCCACTTCTGCTGAGGCATTTATCATGGGTAAAGCAAAACATCTAATTTACACAATTTACCCCATTATCCCAAATGTTTTGCACAAGGGCTACAATGTGTTTCCTCCAGTGTTTGTGCGTTCCAGAGTCATAAGCAAGTCTATTTAAGATTACCTAATGACTTGCTGCAGTTTGAAACGTGTGTGATGACTTAGTAGTTTGCATGATGCTGGAGGCAGAGCCAGGGGGTGTCGCCCAGGCCCCTCCCTTCAGGGGGCCCACAGATATGACCAAAAATAAATAGGCAGATAATAGCAGTAAAATATATTAAATATTCTCAACAGAATTCTGTTAGGTGTTAATATACAGCCTTATGAGTGTTAGAATATGTAGTACTTGCGGTCAAGTGCCGCATGACTGCGTAACCAGGCCAAGAATGGTTAAACACAAGTCAAAAGCACTGAAGATGATGAGAACTTTAACTTTAACCTTGGTTTCACTCACTTTCTTTGAGTCATCAGCTTTAAATTACAATGATCAAAATGAAAATGAGCACAGAAAGAGTTTGATAGACAAGAGAATGGCCATTAATAAAAGGAAAAACCATGAAAGGGAGGATGAGAACAGCTCAGGTGATGAGGAAAGGGACACTAAAAGTAAAACGTGAGGCAGCAGAATGGTATGCCAGCTAACAATAATAACAAGGGATATTAAAATTTGCTTAGTAAGAAAGATCAGCACCAACGGACCTTCACTTACGCTAATAACTAATGCCACTGCTAGCCTAGCAGTGCGAATGTACGTATTTATTATTTAGGATGTTTAGATTTAGGTTAGGAAAATGAGTAAGAGCATTGCTCTGCCACTGCATGATGCTAAATGACAGAGTTGGGTACAAGCTTCCATCACTTTTTAGCTACATCACGCTTGTAGTCCAAAAGCCAAACAAATGCCGGGCACCAAATATGTCTTGGCTTATTGACTACCTTTTAGAATAAGGTGAAAATCTGTACGTTTGAATTTTGGCCAAACTCTTACTTTATGAAACAGAAGGCTTGCACTCACCGTTTGCTTCCTGGTTATTGGCTGGCTCGTGTGGAACAGCATTCAGGGTGCTGGGAGCTGGGAAGGAGGCTGAGTGGGGGAAGACAGCTGAGGGAGAGGGTGAGACGAGCGTACTGCAGTCACCTGTCAATCACACATGGAATTCACAAGGAATTTGAACCAAATACCTCAATCACCACATGCATTTTACTCTTAGAGTGACTACCTTTATTTGCAGAGGTCCCACTATATCTGATGTGTCACTAATAATAATGTATTTACATTACAATGACTTCATTATGTAACAAACAGGTGCAGATTTTCTCAGCAGATCAGGGGGAAGACATGCATGTACAATGGGCTTTTATCACCACTGTTAGCACAATCAAGATTCAGCAGTTGTCTGCTGCTGAGAAAGTGGCCTTGACTTCAGATATCACAGCTGCCATATTTCATCATTCAGTATATCTTAACCACTGGCTGGCCACATGCCAGAGCATCCCTGGAGTTCATGGATTTTACACACCACATTCGTCCGTGCCGGGCTTTGGACCACTGGCCTCCTGCATGCTAGAGCTGTATGTATCGGATTTCACAGCATGAGAGTGCTAATCAGTTTTTGGCTCTCGTTTCCTCATGACTAAGAATATATGGAATGGTAGAAGCTGATCTTGGACCAGTTTGGATCAGGAACTTGAGACATACAAGCTGCACACAAAGGCTGCTTCTTTTCATCACGTACGTGAGCGCATGATATATGCCTTCTGAGTTTAAGACGAGGTGTCTTGTTTCCTTTAAATCCAACAGTGTACCCTGCACTAAATCATAGAAAACCACTAGCAACGGCAAAGTGACATCACTGTTTGTATTGGCACTGTGCACTGTCTCTTGGCTAGGAACATTTCTGGGAGAAAGTCTTTTATTTGATTTAACAGGAACAAGCACTTTTGAAGATTCCACGAGTTGGGGCTAACATATCACATGTGAGTTCCAATCTGCTTGACTGTAAGTCAAATTAAGCCTTGGCCTATAAAGGACAGTGGACATTTTGTACTTGAGTCACTTTCTACCCCATAATTTGTCTTAGTCTGGGATTAGGGAAGCAGCCATTTGATGCACAGCACACACACTAGGCACTGGCTTGTGTGTATGTGCATGTGTGTCTGTTTCTTCGCATCAAACCACAGATACTGGCAGAATGAATTCAGACCACTATAAGGTTTGGAGAACACCTTTAATCATCTGGAGTCCTGACCAAATAAGGCTCACCTGTGGCTGTGCTGTTGAAGGGGTTGCTGGGGGACAGGGCAGGCTGGGAGCTGCTGGCTGTAGAGGTGAATGGATTCGGGAAATCTGGAGGAGGAGATGAAAGAATGACAGAGATGAATTCATACAGTGTCAGACAGGAGGTGAGGTGTCTCAATTAATTAATTAATATTTTTGTATAAATAAAGTCACTCAGAGTGGTTTGATGTAAAATGCTCAATTCTTAAAAAATTAAAATTCTTAATGCTCAAAACTTACTCAGCCAGAATTGTTCACAGTGGTGGTGATAGGAACCAGACATCTGAAGTGTTTAATGTATGTAAATGCTACCACACAGAAAGCTATTACATGATATGGTTACAAATACACTGTCTGATGCCTGAACATTGTTTTACAATAGTTTTGATATAAGATTATGCCCTAAAACATATTTTTAAAAACGTTTTTTTAAAGTGGTACTTGCAGGGTTTGTAAGGCAAAATAGTACCCAAAGAAAACCTTTTTTCCCATATTTACCTCTACTTTTCCATTATCTACTTTACATATAAAACTCTGAAGAAACATGTAGGTTCACTGGTTATTTTTTATAGTAAATAAAATGAGAATATTAAAACTTTAATCATTTAATCAGTTATGCACAAATTTTGAAAAATTGGTGGAATTCCCCTATTGAAGACTCGGGTCATGATGAAACATCCACACATTTCCCAAACACACTGCATAGAAATACGTGAAGCTCAGAATTTAAACATTTTAGGATACCTCAAAAGATGTTTATTGTAAGATGAGTCTTCAGATTTTTGCAGGGGTTGAATCATTGAATACAATAAAAAGTCACTTACAGTATGCATCAACACGATGTGAAACTACAAATCCTCATGGCATAAGGTCATAGCACTACAAAGTGCAGTTATTTTTCTAATTCAATTCATGATGAGCTTGATAATTAACTGATAAAGCAGCTGTCAAGGTAAAATGCTACATCATGCAATGCACCGGACCTTCAGGGATGTTGGCATAAATTAAAGGGCTAACTAATAAAAATCCAAAAACAAGACCTGTTAGGCTTACTTGCAAATGTCTGAGGAGCAGATGTAGCTTCTGGAACACCTGGAGAGCTACCAAAGGAAAAAAGGGCTGTCGGTGACCTTAACATGGACATGTCTTTAGTTTATGTTGTACATGTGGGAATAATCTTGTGAGTCTGATACATTATTGGTTAAGTAAGAAACTTATTTGGACTATCTAATCCAGCCCTGTAATCTGGAATAACCTAGAGCAGCTCACCTTGCAGGTGTGGAACTAGAAGAGAGCCTGTTTCCAAAGAGGGTGCTGTACTGTGGAGGGCCACAAGAGGGAGCTGTGGAGGTGACTGCACAGACACACATCAGTGTTTCATTCTGTATCTTCATTAACAGATTGCCATCAAAAATCAGCTGTTTAAAAACGAATGGAACGAATAAATAAAAAGCACATCCAGTGGTCATTTTTTACCTGGAGCAGGCGTGTTGTCAGCAAAGGCCTTGTCCAGCTGAGACACGGCGGCATACCTATCCTGAGAGACAGGGGGTAGGGCAGGAGGGTTTTGGGCACTGTGTGTGGGACCGAGACCCCCAAAATCCAAGCTCAGAGATTTAGGGAAGGCCCTGAATGGAGCTCCGCCTCCTGAGGATACCGTGCGACCTAAACCAGAAAGATGAGGTCAGTCAAACGTCAAATCCAGTCCCACCATACATACTGTCTATGGCCGGGCTGTTATTCAGTTATAAAAAGTTAATAAATGATTTATAGACAAATGATCTATAAATGATAATGTATTATTTGAGTTGATTATTTAAAATCACATGTATTTTACCATTCAATAGTCAGTTTATCTAAGACAGTTTCCATTTGCACCAGAGGGAACAAAGCCTTACTGACAACAACATTCAACTAAAATTAGAGGAGACATATTTTGCTCTTTTATTTTATTATTTATTAATGTCTTGATTAAATAAAGTTCTCTATGCTTGTTAAGAAAAATAACCATGAAGTGTATAAAACAATATAACACCTGAATGCAGTCTTTGTATGATGTGTTTAACCTTGCTGTTTGCTCAACTGTGAAGGTCATTTTCTGGGTGTTTATTTTGTATACTATTCACCATGCAGTTCTCTCATTGGGTGTGTCAGTAGAAGGGGCAGAGCAAGGGGTCTGGTCACAATGGCTATAGCTGAGCACAGTATAGTTATAGTCCATCCATGTTCAACTTTTTTTAGCTTGTTTACGCAGAGAGTCAGATATAGTCACTAAATCATGGACATGTGCCCACCAAGCATTACATATCAGTGTTTATTGCCGAAACCTTATAATTTGCTTCGTAAGTAGCCTTTGTTTGCTCATTTTGCCACCGCTAAGACAATGCTTAATTTCTGTACTGAGGATTTCAATGTTATGTTAGCAGCAAGCTTAATATTTGCATTTCATAGCAGGTTTCTTGATTAAACGCAGACATTTGAAGCTTGTAACGGACATTAAAGTAACATATTATCTACTTTGAATCTTACAGTAGAAATGTTCCCGTTTGGAGCCTGGTAGCTTAGCTATATGCCATACTTACTCTAGTAAGGAGAGAATTTGTTCCTGGTTAGCCCACAGAGAGCCTGTTAACATTAATAAAAGAGTCTGCTGAATCTGTCACTGACACAGAAGATCAATGTTTTGTGTAAGAGATATTACATTGTTGTTTTACAACGTCCTGCCTGGCATAGACGTCTATATGTGAAAAGGTAACTGCAATGGTAAAAGTATGAAGGCTGGATAAGAGCAAATCCTAACAGTCTGTAGAATCACCTGCCATTTAAAAAAGGGAGATTTCACATTTCACAATTTCTTGAAAAGTAGATACACTGACAAGTAACATAGATGTGAAATGGCAAGGGAAATGCAGTTTTGTTTTTATGGCTCCTGTAAGACAGAAAAATACTGCCACATTTCAGATGCCTTTTACTTAGTGTGACAGCTTGCATCCCAGAATGACACTCACTCGTGTCATTCCTCACAAGGCAACTTTAACAAAGTTAAAGTAAAAGCAGGACTGGAGTTTTGGATAACAGATTGGAGCACAGAATGTGTATGCATGCAAAAGGAAAAAAAACAGCCATTATTAATAATTATCAAAATATTAGCACATTGTTCTAGCTCAAATGGACCTTGCTCTAATACACGATTCAACTCCTCAGCTGATCATGAAATCTTCATATTGGTTCAGTGCCAGTGAAACACTGAAGCATTACATTTCTACTGTCAAGCTACCTGAACTGTACTTATTATAGCATTACTCTTTTTCAGCCCACATTCCAGCTAGAGCTCACAAAAACACATTTGTGGCTGAGACAGCTATGAGTGTAGGCATACTATAACAATGTGTTGGCCTGAGAAACTGCAACAAAATCAAGATCATTAATCATAAGAAAATTCCTAAAATTCCAAACAGTTCGGCCCCAGCATTCTCAGGAACATTCTCTTCCTCCAGTAGGCAAGGTGTGCACATCAGTGACCAGCACACAGCAGTACGGGGCCATGTCCTAAATATATCTGGGCTTTAAAGCTTTTTTTCTATTTTTCATTATCAGAGAACAGAGCGTCTCTCCTTGACCTGTTGACGCTGTGAGGCATAGCTTTGAAGTCTCAGGTTGGAGGCAGTGCAGAGCCAGGCTCAATAGCATTCCATCACTGAGTGCACCACGGCTGGCATTTAGATATCGATTCACATATCGCTAACACTTCACACGCTCACCATTTCTGTCCACGCACTGAGATGAACATGGGTACATTTCCACACATACACAGCGTGCTGTGACTAAGTGTGACAGTTAGCCTAGAAGAACTGCTAAGGAGCGATTTGCGACGGCTTCCCTGCTAATCACAAGCAAAGCCATGCTAAACCATTCTGAAGCAAACATGCATATAATTATCAAAAATAAACACTGCACAGATGATCGCTCTCTCTCATACACACAGCATTCTCCAGCTTTTTAATTCCCTGAGCCCACAAGCTTCAAATCAGCCTGTGGTCAGGCAGATAAATGAAATGGGAGTGCATGCACATGAACACAAGCTATTAGCTTTTGGTAGCTTACCTAGCGTGAAGCTGTTTTTGAAAGTGCTACTTGCTGAGAGGGGTGAAATAAGTAAAGACAAAATATACAAAGAGCTTAGAAATTTCATACATAATAAAGGAATAGTTTTCCCCGTAACCCATTCCAAGACATGACTGTTGTCCAATGTCTGCTTCTTTAATTTTAAACTTGAACTCATGTGGCTTGCAAGTAATGGAATGGAATACCCCACCATTGTGCAAACTTCATGTTTTCTGACACATTATGGCACATGACGTATATTAATGTGCAAATGTATGAATAAAATTCAGCCATCAAAATTGCTACTGCTACTGTTTTAGCAATACTTTAATCTATTTCTATAGATTTTGATTTTATAGCTGAATGTCATACAGTATCAGAAACCAGATAAGCAAGTATATTTAAATCTATTCAAGTCTATTTAAGATCATATTTTTGCATCTTGCAGCTTTATGCAAAAAGTAAAAATAAATAAATAAAATAAAAATTGACATACAAGGTTCTGACAGTGATGATATGTTTTGGATGCTGGTATACTGTTCAGCAGCAATAGAAGCCAGCACAGGTTTTGTTTTGGAGTGACCAACTAAACCAGCACCAGACCAGCATGGAATTCATGTTATTCTAAGCTGTTTTTATGCTAGAATTACTTGCAGTTTAAAGCAAGTGAGTTATGATTCAGGCATGCAGTGTCCCCAGTGCTAATAGTTGGGGTATGAACCTTTACTTGTTAGCTACATTAGCTTCATAGCTCCAAAACTAAAGAAGCAAACCTCAGACACCAAATATGTCTTGGTTGACTGATTAAATTTGGAGTAAGGGGGAAATTGTGTACATTTGATTTTTTGTCAAACTATTCCTTTACTTTCTGAGTCCACATGTGTCTGCTTCCGTGCGTGTATGCATGCCTGTGCTTGTGCACATGTGTATACCTGAAGGACGGGGAAGGGCAGGGAAAGAGGGAAGGCGACTCTGGGGTCCCATTGCTGGAGAAATCGTGCCTGGCCTCTGCCTTTCCATCCCACTTAACAAAGAATCTGAGAGAGAGAGAGCAAGAGAGAAAGAGAGAGAGAAACAAGTAGTGTGGTAGAGGGGTAGGTTAGAATCGATATACAGTGAATCATCACACTAAAGAGAATATCTGCTAAACAAGAAAACATAAACATCCCATAAAACATATGATGCATTAAAAATATATTACAGTTTCATTTAGATGTTGCAGTATATGAACAACATTTTGCAAACTATTCCCTTTTCAAACTGTTTAGCACTTAGAATGAGACGAGAGTTTGAACAATGCCTTTAACAGGAGGGTCTCTGAAGCTCTGAGATCGAGTGGGCCGAGCTGTGAACACCTCCGTACGAACATCAGCTGGAGACACAGCTGGAGCTCTATCCCATGATGACATCTGAGACTGAGACTGCAGATAGATACACACAGATTCATGGCAGGTTTGTAAGTTAAATTGATAGTTTGTGTAAACATTCACTGCACTAGCATTGTAAAAACCTTTCACATAAGCTACTAGCCTGACAGTTAAATTAGTCTTGCACTCCCTATACTGTTCCTTAGCCACTATATATTTTATTCATTCTAAATTTCTAAAATTCTAAATTTTATTCATATATCTGCTGTATATCTTTATCATTTCCTTCCTCCTTCAACATACTCTTCTTGTTTTTTTTTTAATCTGTTTATCTCCATCTCACCAGGGTGCGTGTAGGGCGAGCGGTTGGGTTTAGGGGGTGTCCCGGCGGAGGCTGGCTCTGAGCGGGACCATGGGGAGCAGGTATAGGCTGAACCCCTGGACTCCATGGACCCTCCACATCCCTCCTGGCCTTGCTCTTAGAAAAATGCCTAGAAAATTGATCAACACTCCATAAGAACCTCAAGTTTAAACCAGTAAGTAAATTATTTAACACATTTTTATCGATACAACACTTTAAAACAACCTACATAGTGGTTTAAAGCCTTAAAACAACATATCACAAACAGATAAAACAAGGATATAGTTGACCAGCAGCCATTCACACTTTTGGATGTTTCCAAATAGCAATGAGTAATGAGGTTTTCAGATTTGACTTAAAACAAGGGAGAAGACAGTTGCTTTATTTTCATAGTTACAATGTAAGTACGTTTTACTTATAGAACACACTTAAAAAGCAACTGCAATGTCCCAAAGTGCTGTTCGGCAGAACCTAAATACATAGTCAGTGTTACATGTTATAAATAATGACATAACAATATGAATATGAAATCAACTTGCAAGACTCAGTACTTGATGCACTAAACAAGACATCAAGACTTTTTTACTTGAAATTTAAAAATTGATATACTAATGCTAATGCTGAGTAATGGGCTGTTCCTGGATAGATGGATGGATGTATGGATGACTGGATTGGATGGACAAACGGATGAATGGATGGGTGGATGGATGGATGGATGGACTGAGGAAAGCATAAAGGAATGGATGGATTGATAGATTGATCAAGGAATGGATGGATGGATAGACTGATCAAAGAATGTATAGATGGATGAATGGATGGACGGACAGATGAATAGACAGAAAGATGGTTGGATGGATGGATTAATTAAGGGATGAATAAATGTATAGATGGATAAAGGAATGGATAAATGGGTGGACAGACAGATGAAGTCATGATTGAAATCTACACCACAACGCAGGGCTAGTGAACTAAAATATCTTGTAAACTATCTATGTAAACTTTAACATTAGACTTGATCAAACTCACCATTTCTTCCTCTCATACTTGTCCTGAAGAAATTCTTTAAACTTCTGCGAGTCACGTGTGTCAAAACAGCCATCAGTCTTTCGGTCAAAAGTACAGAGCCAGGTCCTCTTTCCAACCTGTAGCCACAACAAACCAGAACAGTGTGTTTACAGCCTTCTATTCAGGACCAATCATGTCTAAGGACAGTGACCTGCATACTAAATGGCACAAATTAAAAACAAAGTCCAGGCACTGGACTGAACAGCAAATAATACACCGCCAGCAACTCTGCAGACATGCACACACAAATACACTATGATTCATCTAATATGATATTAGTGACATCTCAGCCATGCAATCCCAATTTATTTCTATCATCTTGTTGTTCCCATTCATATCTACAGCGCATATCTGCTACAGTCAAGCAGCCCTTTGTGCAGGAGGAGGAGTAAGAATGACTCAGAGTTTTGAGACCAGTGTTTTAGGACTGTTATACAAGATAGAGCTCCCACCAACAAATCAATCACAGGAGACTATTACTGTAATGCATGAGAGGCTTTTAGTACTGATATATGTGGTGTTTGTGGTATTGTGTGTGAGTGTGTGTGTATGTGTCAATGAATGGTGGTGCAAGTGTGTGTAGGCTTGAAAGAATTTGAGGCTCTTCACAGATACTTCAGAAGTCAGCACTTGCACTCCCATTCAATATTTATGCACTACAGAGGCCGGTTTAGCTTCAAATGGCCTACACACATATTCACACAGGGCAAGGAACCGCCACATTCCACAAACACACTTTCTATGCCTTCCTAATGTTCTAGTCTAACTGCTCACAAAGAGGAAACAGAGGCTTTCTATGCTCACTCTTAGGGATGGACATCTTACAAACTAATATTTGCAACCTGCAAATATACTCACAGACTGGACTGTCTCACATTCCATTGCCTGCTTTTTTCCTCATACTGAAGGTGCTCTGACCAGCTGGGTCTTGTAGTGAGAACCACTGGAGTACAACTCATGTTTAATTGTTTAAGCAATGGGTCAAAGGAGTCAAATGCAGGAGTATCATAATTGTTTGCATAATTCAGTTGTGTGTTGCTTTTTGTTAAAGGGCCCATATCACTGAAAACCACATAATCTCACTTGTTTCAAATAAAGTAGTTAGCTGTAGCACAGAAACAGTGAAAGCTTCACAACTCCTCAGTCCACATGACCCATAAATGAAAACTAAGCTGCAAAGTGACCTGTTTTCTATTCATTGTTTTTGTGATGTCACAAAAAACTACGTACTTACATATATCCACCTATTAAAACACGGCAGCCAATCAGAATCAGAGGATCATTTACATACAGTCAGTCTTAAAGGTGCTGTACAAAACCAGACTGCTTAATTCTAAAAGATAACAACAGGTTGGGTACATAAACTCACACAAACATCACACGTCGACCCCAGAGAAAAATATAAAACACAAGAAAAATGTGGAATACATGCACATATTGTCCGGGAAAGGATGCTGTGTTTTCCGCTTTTGGTACATAAAGGCACACAAACGTCATAAGTGGACCTCAGGGGAAAAACACTACCAGCATAAAGAACTAATAGCTTATGCAGGATGTTTCAAAATATTAGAAAATATTATGTTTCTTTCCTTTTAAATTAAATAAATTCCATGCATTTCTGAAGGAATCAACAAAACTGAAAGAATATCACATCATGTTTTGCTATGCATAGTTTTAATTTTGCAGGAATAACACAAAAAAAATCTTAAAACTTAATTTCTCTCATTACACATAGACATGATGTACTTAGTACACAGGTGGTTTACTATCAGCTGTAGTTTGTGCACTTCTAATGACCCCATTAGAGACTAATAAGAGGCTCCCGCCCATAAGCTCATGAAGCATCATTTGCTCTCTTGCCTGTCACTCACCTCGTTGCCATGGTTTTGCAAAAACTCCACTTCCTGTTGGGAGAAGGTTGTCATGGAGATGGACTTGACTCTGTGGGGCGGGTTGAGCCCCCTCCTGAAAAAAAGGATTGACAGGATGAAAAAAACACACCAGTGGAGATGCACTGTGCTAAACCAACAGAGCTGAATAACGTGGATGTGCCGTTTAATATCAGGGTACTGAAAAACAAAATGAGTAAGGTGGTGCAGGTGAGGAAAAAGAAAAAATTAAGTACAAAAATGTGTGCAGAAAATGCATAACTGTGTAAAGAGGGCAGCAAACGATTAGCTATGGCTGTTCTGGTGAAATAGCTTAACGTTAGCTGACTTGTTGAAGTCTAGTCTAGGTGGAAATATTAGAAAGTGCAGTGGACTGAAACCTCAGCCAGTGTCAGCGTCCCTTAATCTGCTGCTTGGGCCAGCTTTCTTACTGTCATGCGGGGGGGGGGGCTTTATAAGGTAGATAATGATGGCAAACCTGTTAGACCTACCAGGACGAAAAGAAACGACGCCTGAAAACGACAGAGTAGCTCAGTCATTATGAAGTGAATGAGGATGTAAACACTGCAGTGTGTGTGTCCCTAAGACACTAGAGCTCACGAAGCTCAACTCAGCTTCTTGTTCGAATTTTCCCGTTCCGCCTTAAATGGTGCGGCAGTTCGTCTAACGGCTCAGGCGCCAGGAGTAACTGCTGCACCATTTAAGGTGGAACGGGAAAATTCGATCAAGAAGCTGGCGAATAAGCAAACAGACTTAAGGCTCGTCCAGAGCTGGGGGGCTTGCCCTGCTGATACAGCCTTCTCTTCCTCCACACATCACAGCAGCCTACAGTATGACTGTGCCTGCTAGGCTTAGAATAGCACATAGAGTAGTGCTCTAACAGTAACGTTAGCCTCATACTGAACACCACAGAAGACTTAATCAGTCGCAGGGGACAGTGCAGAGGCTACTCACAGCATTCCAGAGCATGACGTGCACACGAAGCAGCCCACCGTAATGTCGATGTAAGTCACCCCGGGCTGGCTGCACTCGAAGCACTGCTTGTTGGCTCCAATCTGCGCCAGTTCCCGCACCTTCCGGGCACAGATCTCCTGGCTGTCCCGGTGCTTTCGGTTCGACATGCTACTGCTGCTGCTGTCTCGGTGACACACACTCATGCGCTCTTACATACAGCACACACACACACCCAGCCTGTCTGTCTGTCGGGGACGTGGAGCCCGTTAGGCTGCGCTCACTCTTCCCCTCCGTCTGCACTCCCTCCTGTATGATCCTCACGCCCGCCTTATGAAAACATAACGCTGCGGTTGGGCTCCATATGACCTGACACGAGGCGCGCGCTCTCCCCCTCTCTATCTCCGCTTTTTTCTCTCTCTCTTTCTCCTTTTTTAGCCTCTCTTTCCCTTTCTCTCTCTCCCTCTGTGTCCTTCTCCTTTTCAACGCGCGTCACGACTGACCGAGGCTGCCTCGTCTGACCACCAGAGAGAGTTTTTAACCGCCCTGTTTATTCAGTCATAGCGACAGTATCTCTGCATTAGACAGACGAAAATCCCCGTTTTCACTCGTCCCTCCTCTCCTCCTCTCTCCGTCTTCATTTTTCGTTTACCTCACGCACACGCAAACGCGCGCGCGCACGCACGGGCACACGTAACGAAGGCGCGGATCGTTTTGGATCGACGACAGAAAAAATGCAGTTGAGGCGAAGAGCAAACTTAGGAAGCACCTACTAATCCGACCAAAAAACAACAACGGGTGGTCTAAACGCAACAGGAGGGTGGCCGAAAAAAGCTAAAAACCTGAGTTAATGTGTGAGTGCACAAAGAAAAACACGGTTTTTATTGTGTGTGTGTGTGTGTTTGTGCGCTTAGCATCAGCTTGAGTTTTATTGCTAACTGGCTGGTGTTTATCACGCCCTTTTTTCTGTGGCGTAACGAAAATAAAAATCTTGTCCCACCCATTAACTCTTTGTGGTTTGTAGAAACTAACTCTGTGTAATAAGGCTACATCCGGCTAACCGGCGCAAAGAGGGAAAGAAACGGGACTAAAGACATTTTCTCAGTATTTTATCAGTATGCCTCTTGCATCTCGCTTTACATTCTCTTCTGATATAAATATCTTATTGGGAAAACTCAGTGGAAGTCTCATACTCTGTTCACTGCTTATCATTGAAAACTGTAATACCGCATCGCCAACACCAGAGGGCGCCACTGGCCTGTTTTTTTAAATAAAATAATTAAAACCAGAAGACGTTTCCTTTTTATCTATTTACTATTTGAATTTCAGTCAAGTAAAAGATAAAAGTAGGCCCATTAATGCAACCCTCTTGCTTTAGTTAAAACGGTCATGGTCTTTGGACCATTAGTATATAATATCTTTCACAGGCGTACAGCGTATTTGGGACAGACTCATGCGATATACAGCCCTTGCCTGTGCCATACCTGGTGACTTTATGTTATTATCATATTCGTTTTTTAAAATGAACTAATTTGCTTGTTTACCATGTCTCAACCCAGATTGTAAACATAATGTAGTTCAGTGACAAGTTAAATGCATTTTAAAGGGCCCATATCGTACATGGAAAACCAAATTTTCATTGCTTTTTTTTAAATAAAAGAGTTTGATGTAGTATGTAAAAACTCTTAAAATTTCAAAACATACCTTTCATCCCTCAGTCCATACAGTCTATTTATGGAAACTAAACTGCAAAACAGCCTGTTTTAAATTCATGGTTTCTGTAATGTCGTGAACAATCAAAACATTTGCATATATCTGCCTGTATAGCAAACATCAGTTTAGCACCTCTTACACTGAAGTTATAAGGAACGTTTCAACCTGGACCTCTTTTTGGACTAAGCACAATACAGAAAAGCCAATCAGAGTATAGTTCATTTACATACACACCATAGTAGATCATTCTTAGCACTGCAGTGACACTAATGTGGTGGTGATGTGTTAATGTGTGTTGCACTGGTACTAAGAATAGTCCACCAACCAAAAATATCCAGCCAACAGTGTCCTGTGGGCAGCATCCTGTGACCATTGATGAAGGACTGGAGGAGGACCAACACAACACTGTGCAGCAACAGAGGAGCTACTGTCTATGACTTTACATCTACAAGGTGGACTAACATGGTGGATGTGTCTGATAGAGTGGACTTTGAGTGGACACAGTGTTTAAAAACTCCAGCAGGACTGCTGTGTCTGATCCACTCACACCAGCGCAACACACCATGTCTGTGTCACTGCAGTGTTAAGAATGATCCACCACCCAAATAATACCTGCTCTGTGGTGGTTCTGTGGGGGTCCTTACCATTGAAGAACAGGGCCATAGGGGCCTAACAAAGTATGCAGAGAAACAGGTGGACTACAGTCTGTAAAGAACTACAAAGTGCTCCTATATGGTAAGTGGAGCTAAGTGGAGTCCAAAGATTTAAAAAAGAAAGTTTCTTTATCAGATTTTAATTAAGTAGTAAATCCATTCTTACATTACAAAAAAATATGACTGGGGTCGGTCGGGTGTGGGGAGTTCAAATGAGATTTGCTTAGGGCCCCCAAATGTTAAGAAAAGGCCAAAAGTTAAAAAAAAGAAAAAGAAATCATAAAAATAAGGAAATTCATATGCCAAGCTTCATATGCGTGCAGCCCTGTGGCCTCACAGATTCAATGTGACATTGGTTGTTTCAGAGAACATGACAGAAAGTAGGCCTAAAGTCTGTAAGACCGGAATCCATGGGACTATATTCCGTATATTTGAACTGTAAGAAATACACAGTGAAACAGTGTGATGTGCTTGTGTACATATTTACTTGCTTACTGCGTTCTGTACACATGCTTTTACATGCCTCAAATGTTCTATATATGTTCTTAACTGCAGCAAATCTGTTATGTCTGAATGTGGCTGTTGCTCCATCCTCATTGCTGTTATCTTTGGTGATTTCTCTGTCTCTAGTGTGAGGTGGGGCACAACAGGTTTAACCAGTCCACTGCTCAGAGTTGTATTAGGAAACCTGCCTCAGCAGTTCCACAGAACTCTGTTTAGCTATACTCCACTATGTGATCCTCATAAGGGACAGGCACTGTTCCTGAAAACACAGCATCCTTCCAGACAGTATGTGTACATTTGTGTCTGTGGTAGCAACTCTGCTTACAACAGGCTTACATGATAACATTTTTCCTGAATTTATTTTTTTCTTGGGAGGTCTACTTACTATTTGTCTGGGGTTCAATACCAAAAACATAATCATTATCCATTTTTACCTGAACAATTTCAACCTATCTGTATCCCTTAGAATTAAACAGGCTGTTTTGGTTACTGTGCCTTTAATACTGTGACATATGTAAATAATCTTTGTTCGGATTGGCCTCCTTGTACTGTGCTTTAATCTAAAAGCAGTCTGTATTAAAACACTATGCATAAGTTCACCGTGAACAGGTGGGGCAAACCTGTTGTGGACTGAATGGGAAGATATATGTATATGCCTTTAGTTTTTGTGATGTCACAAAAACAATGAATTTAAAACAACCGTTTTGCAGCTTAGGGTTTGAATGGTATGTTTTTTAAACATTATCAATGTTTAAAGGCTACATCAAACTTTAGATTTCCAAAAAATTAGAAAAAATGTGGTTTTCCATGACATCCTTAAGGTCAGGGATTTAGCTCAACCTAATCCACAAATAGAATAGAATAGAATAGAATAGAATAGAATAGAGTTCAGGATGGAATCGGTTGCACAATATGCAGTGAGTCACTCCGCGTGATGACTCTGCATAAGCCAGGATAAAAATACTGCGCACAGCTGCACGCATGGTTGCCCACTGTCTTGAAGACACTCTCTGTACTCTTTTTCCTCTTAATAATAACTATTACTGTTGCTATAATTATTATGTAGTATAATGATTATGTTGAACTTCCTTGGAGTGGCGAGAATGATGATCATCTTTGTAGTGAAATGTCTACGAAATTTCATGAGCTCAGAGTCACTTACAAGTTTCCGAGTCAATAGTTTACTTTCAGGTAGAGCACCCGGAAATTGAGTGCAAGTTATGTTTTTCCCACCTGTATTCCGACAAGTCCCGCCCCCTGCTCGAGCAGTCCGCCGATATTAGCCAATCCTGATTCAGGTGGCGCTCTACTGCTAGTCAGTTCTAGAACTGCGGGGCGTGGCTTTCCCCGAATACAGGTGGTAGAAAAACTCCACTGGGGGGAGGTGGACCAACGGCTGAGGAGGCACAAGAGACAACAAGAGACAGGAAAGAGAAGCGTGTCCGGTGACATAAACTAATTCCCTGAGGAGCCATTACTTCCCTAGCAAGGTTTAATCATATAAAAAAGGCTACACGAAGAAGATATAAAGGTAAAAAGTTGTGAGGAGAGGCGGAGCGTGCGACTGATGAGCTCGCGCGCTGGATAGGAAGAAGTAGAAGGAACACACGCTGAAGTAACGTTGGCACAAACCCCGCTCTCCTTTTTTCATTGTATTTATTATTGGCATTTTATACGTGTACATATGCCGTGATTTTAATTTTCGGATTAGTGGATTAGTGGAACTCCAGGACAAGGACCGGTTTCTGAAAGTATGAACTTTTCTGCTGAGGCGCCGCGCCACAGGTTCAGAACGAGCCCGTGAGGTGAAGTGAATGTCATTATTTGATTTACTGCGATGATGAAGACCAGAGTTTTGGACGCTGTTTAGCTGCTTATTAGCCTGCTCGGTGTGAGACACGGGACAAAGAGGGGACGCCAGAGATTCGCTCACCTTTTTGCGCACTTCCATGAGTCAAAGCGGAGTAATAATACTGTTCGTGTAAATTGTACGTTTCTAATGTCAAGATGACCGTGAAACTGGACTTCGAAGAGTGCCTGAAAGACTCCCCCAGGTTCAGGTAAGCTATGAGTCTAACCGCCTCCACTGTTAGCCTGCTGCACACAAAGTCATTGGGCTGGTAAAAATGTCTGGTTACTCTCTTATGTTAGCCCAGATCTGTCAGCTGATTATCAGCGCTCTCTGCTCCTAACACTAGTAACACCCTTCAGGTTCTGACCGCAGACCTTGACCTTAGCACGGCATGACTAAAGTTGCCAGATATTTGCGCATTTAAGCAGAAATCTGATGAGGGAAAACTTAATAGGCCGCAGCACTGATATTAACTTGTCTTCGAGAATTAAAGCTGTGCTGAGTCGAGCTGGAAACTGTGCGTGTGTTTAGAGGAATGGATGGAATGAATGGGATCCGGAGGACAAGGATTGAATCAGCACTGATGACAGGGAAGGGGAGGGGAAGACATCTAGAGCTTAAACGCTTGCCAGTTTAAGTAGGGTGTTTTTCGTGAGGGAGGACCTCGTTGTTCTTAATGTATTGTGAAAGATGGTAATTGTTAACTAAGAAACAAGACTTCTCCTTCTGAGAGTGTAATTTTACAGATGGGGGAGCAGAACTGAGGCAAATCCTGCTTAGCCCTGCTTAGTCAAATTATAGGTTCAGAGAAAAAGGCATTTTTATCTGACTTTGGAAAGATCTAATACTGGGGTGGTGTCGTTCTGGGTGTGGCTGTATGTCTGCCAGGCCACAAAGGAGTCACTGTGACATTAGCTTTTCTAATTTCTTTTTAATATTAGGGCTTTCTATCTGTTTTTCTATATATTTTCTATCTGTTTGTTCAGTTTAGTTTTGCTGACTCTTGCTTATAGTGTCTCTCTTTCTCTCTCTCTTTCTCTTGCTCTCTTTTTTTCTTGCCTGGTGGACTAACAGGGTGGAAAGTTTGAGTGTGTGTTCTCAGGCTGTATGTAGCAGTTCCGACACAGTTAGAGAAGGGGGGTGGAGTGGGTTACAGAACTAGGCCACAGCCAGCCAGAAATATACACATAGCTAAATGCATGCATATGCTTTCTTTCTCTCTTTCTTTCTCTCTCTCACTTGCTTTCTCTCTCTCACATGCTTTCTCTTTCTCTCTCTGTCTCTCTCTGCATCTTTGCTTATCTCTGTCTGCATGCACAGTAGTGTTAGATATGCGGCTGCCTTGCGTTCTGTCCCTGGTGACCAAGAACCACCCTAGCATTTACAGTACCTCGCACAGGCGCAGGAGAATGAAACGATGGAGATAGTGTTTGAGAGAAGGTGGAAAAAGAGGCCTTGGACATAAGCACAGTCCATGTCCAGTTCACTTTCCACTGCTGCCTCCCGTTGCTAAGCAACGGTGGGGTGCGAGCGGGGGAGGGGGGGGTGCAGAGTCAGGAAGTGAGACGATACCAACATGATAAACATGAGACAGGAAGCGTGTGTTCAGGGGTGGATCACTACGGAAACGTTAAGTCTCTCACAAGCACAGCAGACACACAAACCAACAGGCTCAGTCACTCACAATAATTATTATGTAGAAATTGTCCAGCAGTTGGGTCGTTTTACACTAATGACAGTTTGCTCATTGCAAAAATATTCTTTCTATTATAGATTTGCCTTGGGCCTCTTTCCTCCACCTTTTTCTGTATATATCTGTGCATTGCAGAGAGAAGAAAAATAACCAAATCTCCTTCTTCTGTTTTTCTACTGTTCTCTCTCTACCTGCTTCTGTTCATCTTCAAGTCTTTTCCTTCTCTCTCTCTATCTGCTCAGAGGCCTAGCGGAAGCCGCAAGACTTGCGCGTTGTCAGTGAACATGCATCACACTCTCAAAAACACATGCGTAAGATAGATGAGAGGAGATTCTAAATAACTCATATACACTGTTACGCATGGAGACACAAACATGGCAACCATTCTTGATTTACCAAGTACATGTGCAATCTGTTTGTCGAGCAAGGAGTTGTGCAAGCTTTAATTACTGAATTGCCTAAGCAAAGTTTGTGTGTCAGTGAGGGAGAAAGAGAGAGAAAATGATCTAAGATAGAAGTTTGTAGGAAAAATGTGATGGGCTCAAACAGCTCAAGCTGATGTGCTACAGTCAGAAATGCATCAATTACAAAGCATCAAAATGGAGCAACGCTGGCGAGTTACAGTACTGTGTAGAAGTAGGACAGCACCCTTCATTCATTTAATTTCCAGTCAAAAATGGCCATAAAGTACAAGTTAGTCATGATTTAGTAGATATTTTGATTTGATTTAGATAAAAGACAATGAACTTGCATAAGAAAGGAGAAAATAAAAATTAAAAAAGTGAAAGAACAGAAGTTTTCATGACTGGGGTTAAGAAATATATTAAGATATAGCCTCCTCATTCCCAGGACTGGTCACTTTAAAAACAAACAGTGTCTTGTTATGAAATATGTTCCTTAACTTAATATAATACGTGATTTTTTGTTTGTTTGTTGAAACATAATATACCGTGTCAAGTATACTGGATATTTAGGCTCATGTGCCCCGCATGAAATGTGAGAGGTTGAGGAGAAATGGACGTATTTATTATCACCAACATACAACACAAAGCAAGCATTAACTTTTCCTCTGTTTACTGTATGTACAGTTGCATGAAAAAGTTTCTGGATTCTTGGAACTACTTGGACTTATGCATGCATGGCTTTTAAAATATAGAATAATTTTCATAATCATTTTATGTCATAATAATAATCATAAACAAAGAGCTTTTTAACACAAAGCATATTCACTCATTTAAAGGACCAAATCTAGAATGAACAAATGGTTGAAACAATTGAGGTCATTGATGGGGAAAAAAGTGAAAAAACATTATATAAGCTATATTACGTATTACATAGACTTACATGTAATATTGCACATATCACATGCCTTTTATATGCTAGCCCAGTGTCTTAGAAATAACATTTCTGAAACACAGAAGTTGTTTAGTTAGGATAAGAAATATATTCATTTTCATGTGAGATTTTTTGTCTAATTCAAATGTCCAGTACACTGGACAGTGAAATCATTCGAAATCACTAAAAAACAATATTGTCCCCAAATTCATAGATCATCATCTGCTGTCACTCCTAAGCAAACATTAGATTCTACTTTTAACAAAATAAACAAAAATCTTGAATGATTGCATTTTGTAATGCCAAAGTCTATTACTCTAATCCAAACGTCCATATTACTGGACAACATTTTCTCAAAATCAGTGTACATAGAAATAAATGTCTACAATTTCCTTTATTACCTTTCACAAGAGGGACCTTCTAGAAGGACATACATACAAAAACATTTCTGAAATAAATACGGGATAATTTACAGTGTTTCTTTTGGTCTTGGAGGCAATGAGCTTATCTCTCCAGCTACCATATTTGTTTTTTTGGTTATGACTATAAAAAAAGAATACATTCTCTTCAGTGATCGACCGATAGAAAGAGTGAGTTCTGTAGAAATGTGTCATACCTGCATTTATAGAGCTAGAATACCTGGGAAAAATATATCCATATGAGGAGGATAGGGAAAATGGGACTCCTAACAACCGTCCAAGACCTGGTAGACCACCAAAACTGTCACCATCAGATAAACAGAACATAAACCTTTCATCTTTGAGAGAGAGGAGAAAATCAAGCTCTACTTTTGTTTCAGATCTGAAAAAAATCCACAGGTATTTCTGTCAATCCTGTGAGAAGACTCAACACTATGGGTCTATAAAGATGTGTAGCTGTCAAGAAGCCCTTACTGAAGGAAGGAAACAGACAAAAAAGAAGCTAGTCAAACAGAAAAGCAGTTGGTTTTCTCAGAACATTGGACTGTCCACCCCAGTACCCAGGCTTCAGCATCACTGAATGTGTGGAATTACTTGAATTTTGAGAAACAGAAAATGTAACCAATTTTCTAAGACAGAACTTTGGAGGTGTAAAAAAATATCCCTGCAGATTTATTTGAAAAACTGAAAGCAAAAAGAATGGAAGTTGCAATAAAGGCAAAGGGTGGACATACTAAATACTGAATTAATTAATATCATATTTAGATGTTGAGGATTCATTTAATTTTCTGTTAAATATTTTCTGCTTTTTCCTGATGATGAAAAATAAATAACTTGTACCTATTTGCTGTGTTTGACTGGAAATTAGAGATGAAGAGCGGTCTCTGACTTTTGCACAGTGCTGTAAAACCTTTGTATTGAATTACCATGCTAAAATCAACATAAACTTTTGGACAGCATGACCTTCATCAATTGCAAATCCTGAGAATGTTCTTAGAATAGTCTGAGAAAGTGGTGTCCAGTTCTGGACCTGGAGTTTGGTGGTTTCCCTGCTCTAGCACACCTAGTAGTGAGTTAAGCAAGGAAATCACCAGACCTCCAGGACTGCATCTGGATACCGTGAACTCATAACTGCAGGACTGAATTCACAAGAATTTACTGTTATCAGGGCAGCCATTGAGGATGTGGAGGGGGATGTGAATGAACTGGAGACACGTCTCGAGAAGGTAAGAGAGACATAACATTACCTAGAACCAGTTACTGCTGAGCAATATTGATAAAACTCTATATAATAATATTGTCCAAATATAATAATGCTGCCTGATGATGCTTACGTTTACATGAAGTCAATAAACCTGTGCTGGTACTCTGTGCCATTACTGTGTATTACTTTTAAGACACTTTTGTTTGTTATTTACTTCAGTGCACATCCACTTCAAATATATACACAATGTATTGTTAACTTTGTTCTTGACCAGAAAGTATGTATTCATAATCACAAAAAAGGTATATTTAAGAATGAAAATTGATGGGGAAACTTGATAAGAAACGACATCACAAATGAATAACATTAGTACTTTGTTGCAAAGCTTATGTTGACAGTTACAGCTTTGATCTTTTGTTCAGCTTTCCTATTCCTCTCAACAAACAATCTTCAGTTCCTCAAAGTTTTGAGGGTCCCACAACTTAAAAATCCTTCAGCGAAACCAGTGTTATATTATTTATATGTTTGGGGTCATTGTCTTGTTGAAACATCTTCTCCCCCTTCTTGGCCGATAATATTTAATTCTCCCTTGATATGTCCAGGTGCATTTATGCCTCCTTCAATGACGTTTAATGCCCTTTTACTGTTTGCAGAGAAGCAGCCCGATATCAAGATGCTTCCTCCTTCATATTTCACTGTAGGTGTGGTGTTCTTGGGATCATAACCTTTACTTAACCGAACATAACAAGCTGAATTGTTGCCAGACAGTTTTATTTTTGACTTGTCTGATGAGTACATTATTCCAGAAGAGTCTGATTTGTCTGAATGCTCATGTACAAATTGTAGGTGCACATCTCAGAGCATCTTTGTTTAGCAGAGCTTTTAAGTTGTCGTGCAACTCTTTTCGAGTAACTGCTGTTTTTTTCCTGCTCTTTTACCTTCTTTATTACTTACCATCTGAGTGAAATTGTGCGTGGTGCCTCTGCCTGAGGACAATTAGTTTTGTTTCTGTGAACTTTCCACTTGCATATTATTGAACCGGTTGTACTGACAGAGATGTTTAAGGTCTTTGCCATGGATCTGTTGCTTTTTCCATTTGAGTGTTGTTTAATAATGTTGTCTCTAAAAAGCTCCTTCACCTTCACCCTGATTGCACCTGATGTGCAAGCCTCAACACCAAGGGTGACGTCTTTTAAGATGACACCAAAAGCAATTCACACGAGAACTTTTTTTGTTTTTGCAGCATTAATCTTTTTATTTTTAACCTTTACTTATATGTACATTTTATATAGTGTATATACTTTTTTCAGTCGGTTTGATTTTTTTAAACATGTCTCAGTTTTTTACTTATGAATACTTACTTTTTTACTTTTTTTGTTCATATTTATAAGTAGAAAGTCAGACAAAGATATTGTCATTTTAAATTTGAAGTGGCTATATGCACTGGAAGTAAAGTTTTAAATAACAACAACAACAACAACAACCACAACAAAACAAAACAAATAAAAAAAAAGTGTCACCTCACTCTATGCCCCAGTGCTATAACTAGTTTTTTCAATTTGTTGTTCTTTTATGAGAATGGCATTGAATATGTGATCGCTACTCATTTTTTCTTCTTCGCATCACGTATTTGGAGCCTTAGTCATACTCATTTTGAGAGGAGAAGTGCCATTCTTCCTCTTGTTCATCTCTGAGAACTCCCACTGGGAGAGTTTAATGAAGAGAGGTAGTATTCAGGCTGTGTTCAGAGGAACTGGAAAGAGGAATCACCAGATCAATGGCTTTTAACCACTCGGGTCCAATTCCCCTTCAGCAGTCCACCAAATATTCTCAATTCTGACCTCAGTAAAGATAAACAGGGGTTCCAAACTTCCTCCTTAGGACTCATGTAAAGGTACTATTAAGATCATATGTCCGCAGAGGTACTGCGGATCGCTAAGGTCAGAAATTTTTGTATGCATGTCTGTATGTTTCTGTTTGTGTACAGTTGGTGAAGCAGTGTAACTCCATGCTGGAGGCAGGCCGTACATACTGCCAGCACAGTAAGAGCTTTGTGAATGGGCTCAGGGAGCTGGGGCACCACTGTTCTGAAGACAAAACTATGGGGGTGAGCAGAATCAATACACATTTAGAGACATCATTGTTTTTAGGTATAGCCTTGATTTATAAGTGAAGAGATCATATAGAGACACAGCCATGGCTGTGAAATCAGCCCTGTTATTTGGAAATGGAGCACATTTCAAATATAACTAATAATATAATCACGTATTGTGTCTTCATTAACTATCTACTGTATTCTGTATTCACTCTACATTATGTTGTTCACTATTTAGTGTTCAGATGTCACAGAGTAGCGCTCTCGCAAATCAAACAGTAATATTTTGCACTAATTGGAAATGACAGATTATTCTGGAGTCTTATTGAATGACATATGAATTGCCTCCATACAAACAACCACCAACCGAAGGTCCATATCCTAAATTTTCTTATTTTTTTCTCTGGGGTCCACTTATGATGTTTGGGTGGGTTTATGTATCAAAAGCAGTCATTGCATGATCATTCTGTTAATTTGTTAATTTTGTTAATGGCTGTTTTTGTTAATTTTTTATAAATGACCTCTGTCCTGGTTTGCTGCCCTGCAGACTGGCAGAAACACCACTTGTGATTTCAGCATGAATGGACAGAGCAAAACTACTGTAGGGTGAACAGGTGGATATTTGTAAATGCATTGGTTTTTGTGAAATCACAAAATCACTTAGCTACACAGTCTAACCCACAGATAGATAATAGGATGTGATCACTCATTATTATTAATGTGAAGAGGAACTTGAAAAAGTGACGATTATGACCACATGTTTGGCCGGTACAGTTTGCCTGTAGACCAGTGCGACCTGCAGTTCATGGTATCGAACAAAGCCATAGACAGGGAAGTGTAACAATGAAGATATGAATTTTGAGATCATTTTTTTTGTGTGAGTGCTTGTGTGTGGGGCATTGAATAATGAAGCTGTTGTGTGTGAGAATGTACAAGTGTTTAATGAGGTTAATGTCTGCCTGGGTCTCTCCTGCAGGACTGTTTAGAAAAGTTCTCCAAGAAGTTGTCCATCATTCTCAATGCTCATGAGGTTAGTCCAGACACCACACATTAATCCTTTTCACTGTTGCTGATGGTAACCAAGAAATATTCCCTCCCTGTCTCGAGATGTGTCTCTCTGTGCTCACTTTTTTCCTCTGTCTTTTTGTAACTGTCTCTTTCCTGACAGGAGCTCATTGAAACCACACAGAAGTCGGTGAGAATGAAGTTGCACAGTTTTGTGAAGGAGTGAGTTCCAGTAACTGTTCTTTTCAATAATACTCAAATAAAATGTGGGATGGCTCCCAAAACTTTAGCTGAAACTTACAGCAGAACATGGATTTCACTAACTGAAGAAAGCTGAATCTATGTTGCTGGTTTGGGAGGGATTTCAGTGAAGAGTGTTCATGTAGCTCCTTCTGTGTAATCTTCACCAGTTTTAACTGGTACATTTTTTTTGACCAAGAACTATATGCATCATTCATCTCAGATTAAAGCACTGCTATTGGAGCTGGATTAGTTTTACATGGAGGTTCTGTTATGTCCTTTTAAAGGGTCCATGTCATGGAAAACCACATTTTCCTAACTTTTTTTTTTAATAAAAGAGCTTAATGTAGTATGTAAACATACCATGTATTCCCCAGTCTATAAAGTCCATATATGTAAACCAGCCTGTAGAAACTACCCATTTTGAATTCATTGTTTTTGTGATGTCACAAAAAACAACACATTTACTTCCAACAACACATGTATTCTTCATACACCCAATGTTTTAGTGTGGACTGCTTTTTGAAGGAACCACAATACAGGGCAGCCAGTCACAATGGAGGATTGCAAGAGAAATGCAAGAAAAATGTAGAATATGGGCCCTTCAAGGGATTCGACAAGCCAATTTATACAGGGCAAGGTATCTGTGTCATTTCCCCAAATTATCACAGATATCGCAGATTAAAAAGTCAAATCCTGCATGGTGACCTCAGTGTTACGCAACATGCACCACACTTGGTAACGAAAACAACACAGCGCAGATTTTGTTATCATTACTATAAGGCCAATTCAAACAGGACTCCTATTACTGAAAATGCTTCAGGTTCAGCTAATTACTGATAAATCAGCTGTTTTGTAACATAGAAACCCCTTTCTAAATTAATATTTCAAATGTGCATTACATTATTTTCTATCTCTGTGTGTCTCAGGGATGTGAAGCGCTTTAAAGATGTACGTAAGGAGTTTGAACGCAGTAGTGAGACTCTGGAGACAGCGTTGGGGAGGAATGCTCAGGCTCCACGGGGTAAACAGCATGAAGTAGAGGAGGCCAGCCTGTCTCTGTTGAATGCCCGCAGAGTCTTCAGATCAGAGGCTCTGGACTATGTACTGCAGGTACACACATGCGCACACACACATGCACTTAGGCACATGCTATAATTGGTGCCTTTACACATGTTCATGCACTATGCACACAAGCGAGCAGTCTAAGGGAAAAAATGGCTACGGTTTGAGTACCACAACCCTCCCCATTCACACATCAAACTTAATAGTCATCAGAAGGGCAGAAGAAAGCAGAGGCCCAGGTACGTTGCAGCAGCAGAAGTGTTCTCACCTCTGTTTTAGGACTGCACTGTGGTCAAATTCAGCAGAAGCTGCCTCTGGCTGTACGCTCACAGTTAAAAATACCGTAAGACCAGCAGCCACAACCGTTCTTAGCAAAGAGGCATTTATTTTGTGTCTCTCATTATCTTGCACTCTATCTCTCCCCATTTGCTTAGTTTGTGTCTCTCACTCTCCCTTTTTGAACTAGATCAATGTTATTGAGTCCAAGAAGAAGACTGAAATACTGATGGCGGTACGTGTCTTTATGTAATAATCACGTATGTAATGGTTTCTAAATAGGAACCAAAACTGGCCAAGGAAGAAAAAAAATCTGATTCCTCAGAACACTCTCTTTTCTTTCTCCCTCTCTCTCTCTCTCTCTCTCTCTCTCTCTCTCTCTCTCTCTCTCTCTCTCTCTCTCTCTCTCTCTCTCTCTCTCGTGTGTGTGTGTGTTTGTAACAGATGCTCTCCCTGATGGAGGCCCAGGCTCTGTTCTTCCAGCAGGGCCACCAGTCCCTCACAGAACTCGAAGAGTACCGCAGGCAGCTCAGCGACGAGGTGAGAGAGAGATAAACTGGCCTTGGCCTGAAAGAAGGGAAATAGGGGTATAATGAAAGAAAGAATAAATAAAGAGACAGGCAAAAGAGTTACAGGGTTGATTTAGGGCACATTCCCACTTGGCAGGTTTGGTTTCATAAAAAAAGATCTGGTACAATTGGTCTGTTAGTGTGGTTTGTTAGAACAAGTGAGAATACTGTCATTCAAACTCTGGTGCACACCAGAAAAGTGGACGAAGACCCCCTGAGGGTATGGATGCAATCTCCTGAAGTTTGAATGCAACGCAGACCCCACTTTGTCATGGAAAAATCACAATACCACATGGCCTTTCATAGCTTATTGCTCTTGAATATCACAAGGCCAATAAAATAAGACATAAAACTCACAAGCTCAGCTACACCAGAGGACAACATGGTTCAGAGAGTTTGTTGGGTGTTATCCCAGTTATTGTTGCCAAATGTATATTATACATTTTTTTTAACCCATACGACTTTTGATCTATTGCTTAGATGCCAAATATGTCAGTGTTACTATTTAGTGAACCACAACCAAAATCCAACAATGTGTCATTTTCTGCTTTGGTCCAGACCAAGGGAACCAGACTACAAATGTAAACAATGATGTATTTATCTGTTAATTTGTTATAGGGTAGAGAGATTGTAAAGAGATTAAAGAGATTTTTTTGAAGCACTCCCATTTTCCTCCTCATATTTTTAGGGAATATAAACGGCACAGGGACAGTCCACGGGGCAACTATCATGACAGGAAGCTGCCAGCCTTAGAGCAGCAACAGGAAACAGTGCGCATCACACTGCTAGTCACGTGTCTGTTTTTTTGGGTGTGCTTGCCATATATTTCAGCGTTTATTTCAGCTTTTAAAGGAATTGTATGGCATTATTGGCTATGTGCAATGTTTCCTTATAAGTATATTAAATGAATATTGTAATCTTTGACTATACATTTAAAAAATATTATATTATGTCTTATTTATAAAAGATTCTGTATAAACCTTTATCTTAGCAACCTTTAGTTTCAGAACCTCAGGTTGGACATTAAGCTTTTAGTAAAGTTTTCTGTTATGGTTATCTAACAAGTGAGCCGTTTGAGACAGGAAACACAGTCACCTTCTACTGGCCTGTGAAAGCCACAAAACCTGCTACAAAACTTCCTGCATGCACAGGAAATGGTGACAGACTGAGTGAAAGGATTATACCAAAGCGCTTGATCTTTCAGACGTACATGGCTTTAAAAACATCATAATTGATTGGAAGCCTAGAGAGCAAAAGAGTGAACTCAAAGACAGTGTGCAATGTGCAGGAAAGAAAGAAAGAAGAGACATCTTCATATTTATGTTAAAGCATTGCTGAGGTGACAGAAGTAGGGAACATAAAGAGATTGTTTTAGGTGATACTCGAAGCCAGAAAACACAGAATGAATGAGGATTTGATGCTCTCTCCCAGTAGAAACTGTGCTTACCATGTTGAAAAAAACAAATCTGACATAAAATTTTTGGCATACCAAAATAGAGTTGAACCTCGAGAGAGAGAGAGGAGGGGAGAAAATAGAGCAATTAGACTTGGATAAACGTGTTGACCTACATTCTGGACTTCTGGACAGGAAACTGGTCAAGCGCCAACATTTCCTGCTTCCTGTTTTATTCAAGGAAGTCTTGAATTCCATGCACTTTGACCTGCTGCTGAATATGGACTCCAAATTGATTTTAAGCAATTATACAGAGGCAGAAATAAAAGTGATATTCAGAAGCAGAGGGAAATATAATAGCAATACTTTTGATAGCAGTATTTAGAGGATAGGACAAAAAAGAGCAATAGTTAGAGGGAAAAATGATAGCAATAGTTAAAGCTAAGGCAAAAATAAAAATGATGTTTGGGGGTTAGGGCATTAATAATAGCAATATTCAGAGGCTGAGGCAAAAATAATAGTAATATTTAGAGGGTAAAGCAAATGTAATAGAAATATTCAGAGGCTGAGACAAAAATAATAGCAATATTCAGGGGTAAAGCAAAAAGAACAGCAATATTTAGTGACTGGGGCAAACAGATAACAGCAGCATTTAGAGGCAAGAAGGCTTTTCACATGGGTGACCTAATATGCAGATAGATTAAGACGATGTCTGTTTAACCCTCTCTCTTTCTCTCTTAATCTCTCCTCAGCACACTCAACTAGTTTTGAATTCTGCTAGAGAGAAAAGAGACATGGAACAGAGACATGCTGCAATCAAGAAAAAGGTGATTCTCACATGTACACACAAAAACACACAGACTAAGCAGTATGTCATCCTATGTTAAGTGTCTGGTGTCATGGTGACATATTTACAATTCCATTATCAGGACGTATCTTATGACGACTTGATCATGGACTTCAGTCCAGATGCACCCAGTGGCATCGTGATGGAGGGCTACCTGTACAAAAGAGCGAGCAACGCCTTCAAAACATGGAGCAGGTGCCACACTTCCCTCTCCTTCCCTTCATTTCACTCTTTCCCTTTAGCTCTTTATTTTAATTGTCACTCTCATTTTAAAGTGATTCTTTTTCCATCCATGATGTCACTCATTTGTGTATTTGTGGTTTTTGTTTTTACAAATAAATGTAATAAAGCCCTGTCCTTATATTCCCTGATTTTAAATTAAATGCATTTCATTAGCCATGTGGTCTTTCTGTCATTCTTTGGCCCAAAGATAGCTGCTGCTATTGTGAGTAACAATGGCTTACTTGATTGCATTAATTTTGTGGTTTTGGACTGTGTGTGTGCGTGTGTGCGTGTGTGCGTGTGTGTGTGTGTGCGTGTGCGTGTGTGTGCATGGGTTTGTGTCTTTGCTGCAGGCGGTGGTTCTCAATTCAGAAAAACCAGCTGGTCTACCAAAAGAAATACAAAGTGAGCATCACATGATTTAAAAACCTTTAGAACAATGCACAATCTCTCTCAGTTACTCACACACACATAGGCCTACACACAGACATTCACCGTTTGTGTCATTATCTTCCAGGAGCAGCCGACAGTGGTAGTGGAAGACTTGCGGCTCTGCACCGTGAAGCCCTGCGCTGAGCAGGACAGAAGATTCTGCTTTGAGGTCGTCTCACCCTCCAAGTGAGTGAGGGATAGAGGGGGTGTGTGTGCAGTACTGTGCAAAAGTCAGACACCACCTTCAGTTATTTAGTTTCCATCAAATCAGCCATTAAGTACAACTTTTTTCAGGAGATATTTCTTAGGAGATTATATATAATTTATTCTACTTGCATAAGGAAATGGAAACTCAAAAGAAACTAAGTGAAAAAACAAGAGTTTCCAAAACTGGACTTTACAATGATTAAAGAGACAGAAAAAGTTGGACCTCTAACAAACAGAAATTAAAGCTTTCATATTTAAGGTAGAGAAATGAAAAAAATCAAACTCCACTCTTGCTTCAGACCTACAAAAAAAAAGATTAAATGTAAATCGGACAAAGAACTGCTGGTGTTCACAGAACAGTGGACTGACCACCCCAGAATCCAGACCTCAACATCATTGAAAGCATTTGGGAATACTTGCATTGTGAGTAGAAGAAAATGCAACTTTTAAGATGGAATTGTAAAGTTGCGGAAAAATATCCCTCCAGATTTTGTTTTTAAAAATCTAACACAAGTCTCTCTAGATTTTGTTGTTAAGGCTTCTGTGCTTTTTTTCCTTCAAAAGGAATAATTTGTCCTTAAATGCTGTTTGACTGGAAATTAAATAAATGAAGGATGGTCTCTGACTTTTGCACGTACTGAATGTGTGATGTGTGTGCTTGCTGGCATTGATATATTGTGAATGAACTAAATATTTGTAAGTTTTATAAATAAGTGTTACCTAAGCTGCAAAAATGACACAAACAGTACATGAAATATGAATTGTGCCTAGTTCAGTGTCTCTAAGCAATGCGTGGGTGTGTGTGTGTGTGTTTAGGAGCTGTCTGTTGCAAGCAGATTCAGAGCGACAACAGCAAGGCTGGATGAGTGCTGTGCAGAACAGCATTGCCTCGGCATTTCAGGAGAGGAGAGAAGACACGCTCAGCCCTGTAAGACGCACACACACCTAAACATACGAGTGTTACACTTGCTTGTGTACTAAAGATACAGCATAACACCCGCACACAGCTAAATACCTGGAACCACTGAGCATGAGCATGTAGCTTGTGTTTTTTTTTTGTTTTGTTTTTTTTTACGTGGATTTAAACATGGAATTATGGAATTATGTTGTTGTACAGTGAAAAGGAGGGAATTGTATGCATTGTAATTGGATGCACGTGACATTGAAATCATATCAACGTCAACCGACAGTTTCTTTAAAAATGGTCTCTCAGCACTGGACAGATAATTAGACTTGATTTGATGATGTATTTATTGTTCTCTAGAGGAGCAGATCGCTGTGGTGTAGCTGGGCTACTGTGCTAATGAATATTCTCTGTAAAGCTAATCCAGGTGGACCTAATTTCTATGTTTTGTAAATGTTGATGTGTCCCCATTGGCATATATGTACATAAAGAATGTCGCCTTTTGGCATCGGCCCATATTGGTACATTGCTCATTGTAAAAGTTTTGTGACAATGAAGTTCAGTTTGTTTTCTTTTTGGACGTTTTTGTTCCAAATCAGAAGATGAATATGTGCAGAAAGCTTGTATTTTCGAGTAGTTTTTTGTATGTATTCTAAAACAGGCGTGTCCAGTTTTATCCACAATTGGACGATAAGGCTGCAGGTTTTCATTCCAGCAAAGCAGGAGCACATGTGATCAGTTGTTGAAGACTGAAGCTGACTGACTTAATAAGTGGAATTGATTTTTTTTTTTTGCTTAAGGCTGAGCAGAGTATCTCAAAGGAACATAATAAGAGTCTGGTAATGTCAAGTTGCAGACCCAATTCAGTAAGAGGAACATAACCAAACAGTAATTTTACATGTATGCGTTAACCAGAGCAACATACAGTTTAGTCTTGTTACAGAGGTGAATGTAGCATTACGAGTCTTGTCCAGTGACTCCTATTCATATAGCATGGTGTGTTTGCCCAGGCAGAGAATCGAACCCCAGTGTCTTGCATGGAGGGTAGCAGAGTTACCCACCGCATTACACCAGCTGCTGCATTTAATATTCTTTAAATGTGTCAATATTTATGTTCATCTAAAGTTGGGGGTCTAAGTACAACAAATTATGCTATTCAAACATGGTTTTGAATAAATGAATATGTTTCAGTACCTCTTTCACTGTCACAACATTTGTGCTTCTCACTGAATGTATTTACTTGTCTGATGTTTGTGTGTGTGTGTGTGTGTGTATTTCAGAGAGAGCGCTGTAGCTCAGTGTCAGCGGGCAGTGTGAACTTGGTTGGTGGGGAGCAGCAGGATTCAGGCTGTAAGGCACTGGAGGAGGTGCAGGCTATCCCGGGGAACGGACACTGTTGCGACTGTGGAGAACCAGGACCAGACTGGGCTTCGATTAACCTGGGAATAACACTCTGTATCACCTGCTCTGGAATTCACAGGTAACACACACACACACACACACATGAATAGTGCTATGTAGGAGGTGCTAAAAACAAAACACCAAAAAAAAAATGAGATGTGTGATTGAATGTTAGCATGAGATCTAGTTGGTATTATTGAATGATATTCAATGAAATATGCACTGATATTTTGACCTGAACATGACAATTTAAGAACAATTCTGAATTGTTACCAAAATGATAAAATTCAATCATGTTGTGGTGAAAATTCAAGATTTTGTGAAGATGTGAATCGTTTCCTGAAGAATCTGAATCAGATCCCTGTCAGGTCAGAGATCTACATGTTGACTGCTGTAACATTCACACACCTTTCTCTTCTGTCTGTGTAGGAGTCTGGGTGTCCACTTTTCTAAAGTCCGCTCTCTAACTCTGGACTCCTGGGAGCCAGAACTCATCAAAGTAAAAATAACCCCCTCTCTTTATCTGTTTTTCATTTGGACATCTGACAGTTTTATATTGATAATTTAGACGTGACCTTTGTTATTTACACTCTTGCACCATTGACTCACTCCTTCTATTCTCCCCTTATTACATGCATCTCTCTCCTTCTCTCTATTCCTTCATTCTTGTCTTGCTCCTTTTGTCTGTCTCACTGATCCTTCCTTCCTTCTCTTGCTCTCTGTTTCTTCTTTGTATCTCTTTCTCTCTCTCTCTTTCTCTTGCTCTTTTTTCTCTCTCATCTCTCCCTTTTTCTATTCCTCACTCTCACTCTCTCTGTCTAGCTGATGTGTGAGTTAGGAAACACTGCCATTAACCGGATCTATGAGGCGCGCATTGATGAGATCACCATAAAGAAACCACACGCCTCAAGTCCCAGGTAGGAGGGGATGCTGTCATTTTCTCACCTTTCACCTCCGAGACACATGTGTAAATGCTCGTAATGAGTCTGTTTTACATGTACATTTTTTACACAATGCAAACCAAGTCTTTGAGAAAGGTTCATGGTTTTATTTATGGAAGATTCCTATACACTGCCCTCTGCTGTCTCCACACTGGAATTACACATGCTTTTCTCAACAGACACTGGATTACCACTTCTCACTTTATTAAATGCTGTTACAGTTTTGTTGTAACTTCCTTATCCTTTCTTCCCCTACATGCATCTCAAAGATGAATGACAGGTAACATGGTTGTTGGTATTGCGGTTGCTTATGCTGTGCTGTATGTTTATGTATGATCATATAAAATGCATTCTGCTTATGTTGTGAAATGAAATGAGACAGGAAATCATTCACACAAATTAACACACTGGTTATTGAACTACATGTCCATGAATGACTTGGCCTTTATCATCTAATCCCTCACATTAAGGCATGTGGGCAGCTTTGTATTTTAAGAAGCCAAATAAAACTCAGTATTGCTGCATTCTGTGACTTGAAAATTGCAACTGAGATGTGAGCAAAAAATGCTATTCTGGAAGTGAATAATCTTATTAATGGCCTTAAGCTTTAGAGGATTTTTGGGTTTGAATGTTTGTTTTATTCGAAAGCAAGAAACAGTAACAGTCTGTGTTACTGAATAAAATACTACATTGTTCTGTCTTTCCTCAGGCAGGATAAGGAGTCATGGATTCGTTCGAAATACGTGGAGAAGAAATTTATTCACAAGCTTCCTGAAACAGGCCGTGCCCCACCCCTGCGTCGCTCCAGTGCACGCCGTAACAGAGCAACCACTCAAGAGAAACCGGGCACACGTCCTGTACTCAAACCCAAACCCAGCAGGGCCACCCTGCCACGCCTCACAGGTATGTATATATATATATATATATATATATACACGCATGCACTTGTGCAGACTGTATACAATATAACTGTACATGGATCCACTGCACTTGTGTTATGTGTGTCCTGCAGAGTTTTGCCTATCAACAAAACATAGTCACAAACACTGGACATGCAAGACATAATCTATATGCGTGGTGGAACAGTAACAGATCTGTGATCGTTTTTGTTGGCCTTGAAATAAACACACAAACTGAATTAATGTCATTTGATGTCTTTTGCAGGCCTGAACCCAAGTGAAATAATGAAGAACAGCATTGACTCTCACAAAGGTCATACAGACACACACAAACACACATACAAACACACACACATACATAAAAATACTGAAGATGCAGTAAATTTACACATACAGTATCTGTTTGTGTCTTGCTTATGAAAATGATTTATCACAACCAGCCCCACATTCCACCTGAAATACATAATGGAGTATCGAAGTGGGTGAGCTTACCATTCAGAGTACACTGGGCTCATCAGGAGGTGGGGCTTAAAGACATAGGAGCTCTAACAGAGTGTTTCAGACAGAGGGTGAAGATGAATGTGCTTTTGGAACATTGAATCAAGTAAATCTGTTCCAGATAGACCCCAAAAATAAAATTATGAAAATGAGCATAATAGGCACCCTTTAATTGTCCAAAACCATGTATGGTTTTCGGTGCAGCCAGTGTTCTGAGTAATTTTGCAAACTATGTTTTTTGCACAATGTTTACAGTTCCACATGATGTCTTCATTATTATTACAAAATGTGGAAAATAAAATACTGAACAAAAAGAAAACCTGTTCTGTGAGTAGTTGTGTCCAAATGTTTGACTAGTTGTGAAAATATTGTTCGTTACCATGTAAAAATGTAAAATACGTGAAAATACAGATGTAAACACACATATGTTTCTATCAGCATATATGGATCTATATGTGAAATGTACATGTTGTGATCCTGTGTAATATGTTGTTGAACACAGTGATGACATGTCATGTAGATGTAGAGTCCTTCTACTCCACATGCACCCTCACCCTCTGCTCTCTGTGTGTTTGTGTGCAGATGATGAAGAGGAGGAAGATTTGAGCGGTCTTCACCCCGGCGCTCTGCTCTATCGTTCTGCAGCACTTCAGCACTTCCCTGTCATGGCCGACGCTCTGGCACACGGAGCTGACGTCAACTGGGTTAATGTAGCCGAGGACAGCAAAACACCACTCATACAGGCCGCTACCGTGGTGAGTGTGTGTGAGAGCTGTATGTGCGTATTTGTGTGTTTTGTGGTGTCAGCATCATAAGCAGAGCAGAGAAAGCCACTCTGCATTCGTGTTGTAACAGGAAGAAGTACTGACATTTGACCAGTGTGAACGTGTTTGTTGTACTGTTGACTTTGTTGGTGTCTGTTTACATACATATTATTGGTCTGGTAACAAAACATTGCAGGTCTGAAATACTTAGCTGTAATATATGCTAATCTAATCGCATTCCAAATAATTTTGTGCCATTTCTTTTGGTCTGTTCAACATAAAAAGTTCATGTGATGTAAAGGTCAGCTGATGTTTTTAAATGCTACAAAAAAATAAAAAAGGAAAAACCCGTTGCGAAATGACAGTGGCTGTGTGCGTATGTGTGTGTATGTCAGGTATTACTGATCATCACTGTCCAAAGAGAAACAAAATAATCTCCAACATAGTAACTTTACAGGAAAAGGCAAAAACATTCTGTAATTTCAATGTAAGTTGATTCAAAGAGGTTTTATTCCAAGTGATTTTTTTTTTTCTTCATTTGGACAGCAACAAAATGGGGGACTGGTCAGTGTCAAAAAATCAATATCACAATATTTTCTTGTTAAAAAATTTGCACCATCAATTATATCCCTACCCCTGCCATACCCCCATGTTCTAATTGGTTGCCCTGTAATTGTGCCTCACTCAAAAAGCAGTCTGAGCTGAAACACTCTAATTACTTTGGTGTGAATGTGCTGGGCTAAACTGCTGCATGCCAAACAGGGGAATATATGTAAACATGATGGTTTCTTGTCAGTCATTGTACATACTCACTTAACCATATCACCCAGGCTTTAAGTGAGGGTCTTAATGTGTCTTCTGCTTTACAGAATTCCCTGGCAGCGTGTGAGTTCCTACTGCAGAATGGCGCTAATGTTAACCAGGTGGACTCTATTGGAAGAGGACCCTTACACCATGCTACTATACTGGGACATACAGGGTACACACATGCTGCAGTATACTGGAATTTAAAAGAACAGATTTGTGAAAAAAGGCTGTAATTAAACTAAAGTACACTGATCCTTCTGTTTGACCTATGTGTGTGTGTTGTGGCAGGCTGGTGTGTCTGTTTCTGAAGAGAGGAGCGGACTACAATGCAAAGGATATCCACCAAAAAGACCCGATCAGCATAGCTGTAGATAGCGCCAACGCTGACATCGTTACACTGTGAGTGAGTGGGAAAAGTGAGGGATACAAAAGGGACTGACTAACATTGTAAAGGCCAGAGCACACTGATCCAGCAAGAACCAATAATCCCAAAATGTGGGAAGACTCTGGGATGTTCTCTTCATTCACAGTGTTTTTAGTTGTTCTTCCCCATTCTCATTGTTCTAGAATGTTCTCCCCATTTACATTACATCTATTTCTAAACCGTTGCCAATGTTAGAATGTCGGTGTTTTGTTGGGTTAATGCCTTAATGCCTTAATCTTGGCCAATGGCTTTATGCCTGTTCCAATCTGACAAGCCTAATAACTAGTGTGAACTTGGGAGAACCTTGTAGAATAGCGTAAATGGAGGAGAACATTCTAGAACAGCATTTAGGCGAGTTGTTTGTCAGGCGCTCTGGCCTTCAGGGGTTACCTATTACAATATACTGTATCACTGATCTGAGATTGGCATTAAAGGGCAGCTTCTACCAAAGCATGCTATTACAAGAAATAAGAGGAAACTGTTGAGAACCTGACTCACCAGTATCTGATGCCTTTTATTCACAGCCTTCGAATAGCCAAGATGAACAAAGAGATGCGAGAGATGGACGGCTTCGCCCAATCAGGTCACTCCGAGGGTTGTGCTGGTGGGGGTGGGTCTGGGGATCTGATTGGTCAGACCAAGAAAAGCTTTCAGGCGTTTAAGAACCACCTTAGTGGTTGGACCTTGGGAGGGCAGAACGAATAGATGGCCTATTTCAATGTGACAGGCAACTAAGTAGATATGGAGTCAGTGGTTCTTTAGTGGATATGTGCAATATAATTCAAATATGTATAATCCCACAAACACTTCAACAGAGCAAACTCCAGTGAGTCAGAATAGGCATTATTTGTACTGCCATTGTTTAAAGTAATGTAGTGTAATGTAATATAATGTAAAGTGTATTGATATGTATATTTTAATATCTTGTGCATATGTACATAAGTAATTATGTGGTTAAATGCTAGAAGAATAGAGAAAGACTTATGGGATCTCTGGTGTCAGATGGTATCACAGATTGAAAAAAAAAGTTAAGCTTTTTTTGATTATTAGTCATTTCACTTAGGTACATTTTGGCATTCATGGGGAGTTTTCTTTTACCAACTGGTACAGAATTTTCAAATTCAAAGCAGTTGCTCTGTGGTTGTGGAGTGTGTGTAATATTTTCAGTATAATTAGCACTCATTCTGTGTCAGTTGTGCTGACTCGCAGTGCTCTTGTCTTTTGCATCAGTTGTTCGCTGAGGAGCTTCATTATGGCAGCTTGTTCCTATGTCAGTGTCTCTGTGTCTATGTTGCTGATTGTGGGTGTATGTGTGTTTTGTGTGTCCTGAGATGGACGGCCAAGTGTCCACTGCTTGCAGTGTGTGTCGTCTGCGCTGCGTGTCACAGGTAATCGATCTGGCAAGCTGCCTTGCCTTCACTTCCTTTTCCTCATCTCCTATCAGCTCATGTGTAAAAGCAAGACTAACACTTTTACCCACACTCTGAACATTTCCACTCACATTTCGTACCACCCATAATGACTTTAGTCTGACCTGCATTCCAGTGTTTTAGGAGAGAAGGAAAAGGAACATAAAGGTTCTGTTGCAGTGCTTGGGTGCAAATCCCTGCTTTTACTTACAAAATTTTTCTGATACTAATATTGCTTAAAATCCAAAATATTCCTCTAGTCCTTTCATTCTGCTGTTCTGAACTTTTTTAACCCTTCAGTCTATCATTTATGGAATAGGAAATTTCACTCAGATTGTTTTTTTAAAACCTGACTGTTGCTCAGTATAGTGTGAGCCTGAGAAATCAAGTAAACCTGACTTTTTTTGTGTGTTTGTGGTTGTGTGTACGGTACTGTGTAAAGTCAGAGACCACTCTTCATGTATTTAATTTCCAGTCAAAACAGCTATTAAGTGCAAGTAATTAATTTTTAAATATCTGGAAGAAAATCATAAAATATGCACATTACATAGGAAAATCTAACATTGTTAAGTATTTAGTGTGTTCACCCTTTGCCTTTATTACAGCTTCCATTCCTTTCAGGAGACTTGATTTCTGCAGGGATATTTTTCACTTTCAAGTTCAGTCTTAAAAGTTGGTTGTTTTTTCTGCTTCTGACAATACCAGTAATCTCAAAGACATTCAGTGATGATGAGGTCTGGGCTCTGGGATTGTCAGTCCAATGTTCTGAGAACACCAGTAGCTTCTTAGTATGATTGGCAAATTCTCTATTTCCTTTTCTCAGTAACAGCTTCTTGACAGCTACACTTCCTTTCAGACTCAAAGTGTTCAGTCATCTTCTAACAGTAGAAGAAAGGAAACAGCTATGGATTTTTTTCAGATCTGAAGCGAGAGTGGAGCTTGATTTTCTCTTCTCTCTCAAAGATGAAAGCTTTAAGTACTGGATATCTGATGGTGACAGGTTTGGTGGTCTAGGCCAAATCTATATTGGTCTATATTCTGAGTCCCACTTTCTCCATATCTTTACATTTTGTGAACTCTGGTTTTGGAAATTATTTTTCCTACTTATTTTCCTTTGACTTTCTCCTTCCTTATCAAAGTGGATAATTTTTATATCTAATATCCTCAGAAAAAGATGGGTGCTTTCTGACTTTTGCACAGTACTGTATATTGTTCTATTTGTGTCTGTATCTGTGTCTAAATGTGTGCATGTCATTACAAGAATATAAGCGGATGATTTTCCTTAATAATCCTTAATTGTGTATATTAATAGAATGCATACAAGAGAGATTTACAAAAGGGATGGAAGGAATCAAGTGTGTGATACACAAAGCACACATTAGATTTGGTGTAATGAGAAGCTGAGGTGTGCATTGGTTTTAAGTGTCTAGAGTAATGTATTAGCGCTCACTTTTTTTAAAACTTCAATTACTATGCTAATTTAACTTTCAGATTAGATCGCTAAGACTAAAGGAAAGAGATGCAGAAGATATGTTTGGTATATATGTCTGTTGGAAATATCATTTTGAATGAAACTAAATGTAACCCTTCCCATCTCCTTATAATCCCCCCCCATCACCTCACCTTTCTCTGTCTCTGCCTCCTTCACTCTCTCTCTCTTTCTGCAGGTGATGAGACGTACCATGATATCTTTAGGGATTTCTCCCAAATGGCCTCCCACAACCCAGAGAAGCTGAAACGCCGCAGTGCCGACATTAAAACCCCATAACCACCAGGTGGCACTGCTGCCAGTGCTACCATGTTCTGTACACAAAGACATGGGCAGAAAAATTAATGTTTACTTCATAATTGATCAATCCATGCTCCACCCACAGATGCGTTCTTTCATAGATCCTGTTGCAAAACAAAAATCCCATTTAACCTAATAAAAAAACTGTAGCACACAACACAGTTTTTGTCAAAGCACTTAAATTTGGAGTTATTCACCTGAAATTTTTTTGCATGTGTGGAAAGTAACACATTTAGGATAGATTATTTGTAGTTTTTGTGTAATCAACCAAATGTTTGCACGGTGGCAGTTTGTTGTTCTTGTTGTTCTTGTTGTTCTTGCTGTTTAGAACCTGCCCAGTTTCAGTTAGCTATAACAACGGTTAGCTACAGCAGCTCTGTAATGTAACATTTTAAACTGGAAACTTCAGCGTTGTAGCAGCTGTAAACATAGTGTGCTTCAGTTTCTCATCGGGTTCAATGGAGCTTTTGCCCAAGTTCTGTAAAGCTCATCTAATCTCACAACACTTGCTATGAAAGAACATGTCTATAGGTGGAGCACAGTTGGATCAACTGGCTGGCCATGATGCCAGAAGAGAAAACGTAATTGTGAAATGCATGCTGCTGTAAAGTCAGCGCGCAGTTATCAGCTGCAGTTTGTAGTCATCCTGGATCTTTGAGCCTGAGCCCCAATAGATCGTAGTGATCAGCTCATTCCATAGACGCGCAGTAGAGCTGCCATTAAACTGCAACCATTTGTCCTTTTGCTCTGCAATCACCAGCATTCTCTTAACTCACATTGGTACTCAGGAGGGCTCTGGATTGATGAAATCAACTCTTTGATATCCAGTCAAATTGAACTGATCATGGTTCTATTTCACAATCCAATATTCTTTTATTACAGCAATATCGTAAATTTCTATTTTATGTTTTATCCTCAAGACTGAATTAAATTTCAGTGTGAACAATTTACTTATGCCAGTGCTTTTATTTCTCCCTCTGAAACACAGTGTTAGTTTATCTTGTCCATCTTTAACAGCAGCTGGAAGTTGTTGAATTCCTGTTTTTTTCTCCTTTTGTGACCAAACATACAATTCTATGTTTTAAATTTCTTTTCTTTTTCCTGTTATATAAACATTGTGTTTTGTATGCATGTCTGTTCCAAGCAACAAAAGATTTATGCCCCTTCTGCCCAGGGAAAAATAAACTCGCTTGCTAATACATGTCTCCTTCTAACGCTTTGACTTGGTACTCAGAAATCTACCACGTTTTACTGTATTGTCTATCTGTTTTAAGGCTGCCACTGTTGAATATATTAGTAATTAAGTAATTTATTATTTTTGACAATCAACAAATCTTTTATTTTCAAAGAGCAAATAAAGATGGGCTTATCTAAACAATAACAACACAAAGTATATCAAAGATTCCAAAAGTTATGATGAATCATGATGACATAGAACTTTGTGTGTGTGTGTGTGTGTGTGTGTGTGTGTGTGTGTGTGTGTATATATATATATATATACACACACACACACGTTAGGGAAATTTAAATGGAGTTTTATCAAGTGATTGTGATAGCCATAATCTGTTTATTGCAAAATCCCACATGTATGCTTATCTAGCTAAATATAAGGGCAATTTAATAGTGTTTTTATTACACCTGTACTTGGCTTGTCTCATGAATTAATTTAATGATCATCTTCATCATTTCCTTAAAAATGTTGGTGGATTTCGTCATTATATTTGCCCTTGTCCTCAGTATGTAGTCCATTCTCCTGCAGGATCCATAGGGCCTTTTTACCCCTTGCCTCAAATCTATAGGCTCCTGTAATAAGTCATTATTGTTAATGTCTTCATAGATTTTTCCAAACCATAGGCAGCATTGTCAGCTCACGCAATAAACACACTTACTTCTTCATGAGATGCAATTACTTCTGGTATAGTTTTTGTAAACGTTTTTGTTTACTCCGTGTTGAGAGAGAAATGATCTTACACTTTATGCTCGATTGAGCAATAAGCTCAAATGTAGTGCATTATTATAAAGGGGTGTTGTTAGGCAACTCAATTGGCATTGCTTTTATACACCAGCAACAAAATACAACATGATAAAATACCACTAAATTAATTTAATAATAAACACTAGTTTGTTAGCAGTAGGCTACAGTTGCCAAGTTACATAACATTCAAAATTATTGCCTGTATGGCACAATGTTTTAAATAACTAGGCACAATTCAACTGATGTGTACATCAGTTATACTGTTATTTGTGTGCATGTCCATTATTTTACAGCAGCTTCGAACGTAGATTAGCCAATCAAATTTTAGAACCAAAACGCTGCAACTTATTCTTGTTTTATCTCTTGCATTTTCAATATTCCACATTCAGTAATCTTAATAAAAGAAATACAGAGAAATAAATTTTATTAAATTTATAAATATACACTTCAAAGTTAAAACCTCAGTAATTAAACTTGGAACATAATAATCACATGTATTTGTGCGTAGTCATTTTCCTGGAAAGAGCTGAGCGTGTCAGCAAAATGGGGTCAGAACCTCAGGCACATGACGTCATCGGACAGAGAGAAAAGAACAGGCTGAGTCAGCTACTCCCAAACCTCAGCTGAACTCCACTCCACCTATTATTTACTCATCTTTGTTTGAGAAATCAGCTTCACAAAATGATATGATATTAATCCTTTGGGTCTCTGACTCATCATGTAATTCATTATCTAGGTATTGCACACTGGCCTAAATTTATCAGTCACAAGTTAGCAGTGAAAAAAACATACAATTCAAATGATAAATATATTAAAGCTATCAAATAAGACAAAATGTAAAGAAAAATGCACTCTTGCCTGGCATAATGATGTTTTTTTACAGACAAGCAATTCTATGATCAGTACAGTAATCTTTATTAACAGCAGCTATATGGGTCTTTTTCTAAAAGCCCATGGGTTCCTCTGTGTGTCAGATATAGAGATTAGAGTTGTGTGCATTTTAAAACTTTCCTCTTGTGTGAACATGAGGGTTGGCAATAGCGAGGCTGCCAGCCACTGCAGATTAAGGCTCATATATTTAGCTTTAAGACCAGAGTTCAAAGCAAATCAAGTTTTTTTTTAAAGCACTACCTCTGATGTGCTACCCACCTCAGTGTGGTAAAACCAAACTAAAGAAACTGCAGATCTCACAGCTGGCTGCTCAGGTTTTCTGACCTCCAGGCCTTCTGAATATTTCAGTGGCTCACACACGAGAAATCGCTCATATTGGTATGCTGTACAACAAAATCCACAGGAATGAAATATCCAAGGGTAGCTTTCAGATGGATTACTTTCAAATGTGATTCAGAATGTAACCCCTTAAATTAACAATAACCCTTAAAAACAATGGGCCTCATTTCCCCAACTGTTCCAACAAATAAAAAACAACGTAGGTGGTCAATGAGTAAATTGCTCTGTCCTGCCACTGAACCAAAACAGCTCTGCAAACACATGGCTGGCTAATATGTACAAGTTCAGCTTAAGAATGTCACCAAATAATGAACCCATCCATCCACTGGCCTTTGAATAAAACACCTATTTCTTTGTAAAGGTTATGCCCACTCATAAGCAACAGTTGTGTTTCTAGGAACAGTGGCAAAATGTGTGTTTTCATGGCATTGAGTTTTGTTTCACATGGCCCCTCAAGCTTTAAGACGTCTGTGTTAAGAGTGTCAACAGGTGCTAACTAACCAATATCAACATTTAAAATCTTCACAATGTCAGACTATCAACAAAGACTGGTGTCAAATTTAGACAACACTGTCTCTACACTAACACTAGAAACACAAACACCAGAACTCATCTCTGAAAAAAAAACAAAAAAAACAAAACAAAAAAACACAAAAACATCAGCACTGGATTCCTATCAAGAAACAGAAAAACAGACAGATCACATAATCACACTGACTTCACAAATAAAGTATCAAACTAAGACATGCATTGAGCATGTTTTAAGGCATGTTAGTGCAGATTCTCTCAGTGAGAGGTAAAAGTATGGGTAAAGGTATTATTACCGCTGTGTCATCGGAACGGGCCTCCGCTAATGCCAAAAGGGTAAAGGTAATTTTGTCAGCATCTGTACACCGCTTTCAAAGTTCTGACCAAGAGCGCCTTCAAGATAAGCATCATTTTCAATTATCAAGTACAAAGAGGATATTTTCCATGTGAAAATGAGTGCAAATGTGTGCTGTGGCACTGTATCTGCCTGCTATTCAGCTCATGCTCCTGGTCATGGACACTGTCAGAAAAAGGGTACAATTGTGTACCTTAAATGAGTTTTGAATGTGCACTACATTCACTTTCCTAGAGGAAAGGGGCATATTTGTACCTCTTTATAACTTATATTTTAAAATAAAAAGTCTAGAGTCAACACAGGGCGTATGGAGTCAGTGCAACTTAAATATGTTGTTGGACACCGCTACAAATTGGCGTAACCCCAAAACAGTGTACTATATAGTGAATAGGGCACGATTTTGGACACAGCTTTGGAATCCTGAACCATTTTTAAGGCTGTTATTATGGTAATGGTGGAAGTCATAGCATCTGTAGGATGTGAAACAGTACCCTGTATTTTATTGGTATGTCAGCTTCTAGTGCTTCTGTGCGTCTGTGTTAGCCTACAGAAATATTTTGCCTGCAATAACTACAATTTCTCACTTTCACCCTTATCCTACCCTAAAAGTCAACATAAAAAAACAAAATAAAAAAAATTGACAGTACAGAATCAATACAGACCACCGGAACCTTATCAACGACTGAAAGTAGCAAATACACAGTGCATTTTTAGGCCTACCTGAGGTGATGTAAAACAGGTTGACTGTGATGATGGTTTCCTCTGTCAGGGTTACTATCACTGCCTCTTCCTGCTACAGTGGTCTCTCTCTAAACACAGCACTGATATCTTTCACACTAAAAACAGGCAGGTTAAAATTAGCAGTCAGTCAGTTCCTGTGTCAAACACATGCTCCCTCAGCCTCTGTCCTGTCTGCGGTGAGAGGTACGTGCTCTGCTTCTGAACCTGGTTCTGTCGTGTGATTGTGATATGAGGCTTTCCCTGAATCTCTGTCGGAGTAACGCATATCCTCCAGGGCGTGCAACTTCTCGTGGTCACAGTCTGAGGAGAATGTCTGTTTAAGCAACCCATCTTCAGTGCACTCATTTTTGGCCTTTTTCTTTGGTGATGGGGGTGGAGGGTTTGTGCAGGAAAAGAAATGGGGAAGGGTCGCTGTTATTATGGTGCCCAAGATGAGGAACCCGCCGGCTACCACAAAAGAGCCAGTGTAATTGCCTGTGAGGTCCCTCAACCAGCCTGAGAGGAAAGAGAGAAAAATGATAAAAATAAACACAAATATAACAGTATAACGTTGCACTCTTACACTTAATTCTACTTGAAGGTTGCCCGACCTTGTTTAGTTCTAATTCTAGGTAGCAGTAGCTGACCTGAACCTGATGATCTGAGAGATCTGCTGGGTTTGTAATCTTCTAGCAAATCTGAAAATATAATTTGGTCCAAGAACCACTGAGAGACTTATATACCAAGAGCACCTTAAAATGAACTCTATAACTAAGAGGAAGCCAGTGTACAGATTACAGTAGTCCAGTCTGGTGGTGATAAAGGCATGGACAAGTTTCTCCAGGTCATGTTTCAACATGAATGCTCTAAAACAGCTGTTTTTGAAGGATAAAAAGCTGATTTAGTGATTGTTTTATTATGGTTACTGAAATTTAGGTCAGAGTCTACTATCACTCCTAGATTTTCAACTAGGTGTTCTGTCTTAGTGTACAATTTCTATTTTTTTGTTTGTTAAGTTTAGCATATTGGGGGAAAAAACTAATTATTAAATGTGCCATAAATTTTGCACAGGCCATTATTTATGTTTTATTTTTTTAACTTTATTTTATGTTTATAAATAAAATTCAGCAAATCAACAGTAATTATGCATTGAAAGGTAAAAAAACATGTAATTAGACCAGGAGCACCCAAACCTTTGCACATGACTGTAAAACAGCTTTTTTCTTTGCATTATGCTGATGTACTTGACTTTAGTGCTTGTGGTTTTGATACTTAAGGGCTTTGAGCTGCTCTTGCATATATAAAGTGCTATATAAAAAAGTTATTGTTATTTTTTTGTAGTCTGAGAGGGCTGAAATCTCCCACATCACTTTAAGATGAATCATTAGCACCGCTACAACACCTTTTTGAATGTGCTTCTAATTGCTCTTCATTTAGGTAAGTCTCTGCTGGATCATGCCAAAGGCTGTAATAATTACTAGATTAAAAAAACCTATAATCGGGCTCCCGAGTGGCGCAACCGTCTAAGCGTTGGCCCTATCATCAGGAGGCCCTATCATCATCCGTAACCCGGAGTCCAAGAGAGCACAATTGGCCTCGCTCCCCCTGGGTGGGTAGGATGGCCCCTCCCTCTCACTCCATCACCTAACGCGATGCTAGTCAGCTGACGTAACAGATCTGGCGGTTGGCGCTTTCCTCCGAGCGCGTTCAGCTGTCCAGTGACGTTGCGTGAGCGGCAGTTCGAAAAGGTCTCGGAGGAAGCCTGTGTTAGCCTTCGCCCTTCTAGTATCATGTGATTGGGGGAGTCCTAACTAGCGGGTGGAATTGGCGACGATTAATTGGGGAGATAATTGGGTTAAAATCCAAAAAAAAAAAAAGAAAAATCAATAATTGATAGCAACAGCCCAAATCATGTCACAGCACAGGCCAAGAGGCTTCAGGTCTGCTGTTTTTTTATTAACTGAGAAGTTAAGCGAGGCCATAAATGATGGATCTGATCTTTAATCTAATCATCTATTGCAAAGACCGACTATGGATACTTCTAGTTATAAATCTGAACCAGCCAAGCTTAACATCATATCAAAGCTACAGGACACAGGTCAGACACACAACACTTAAGAGAAATTCATGTTGAAGTTGATTATCTTGGGTCCACAAGGTTGTAAAAGATTTCTGAAGAGATGCTCATGAATGGCCTCTATGCAGACTTAGTGCACCCTTAAGTGAAGCCTGTATCAATGAGGACTAAACAGGGGTCTCTTACCCAACATTCCTTTCTATTCAGGTTAGACTACACTAGTTACAGCAAATGGGTTTTTTGCTATTAAAGGACATGCTTCATTAATTTACTGTTGTTGAGACATGTTATGCTTATGTATATGAAGTGACAGTAAATAATTTAAAAAAAAACAAAACTAATTTTACCAGGTGATGTACAGACATAGTCTATATGTGGTGACATTGTAAGTGTTTGTCCCAAATGCACATTTTTAAGCCTAGTGCCCTCAAGGACTCTTGTCTCAGAGGTTCATATGTTGTTGATGCTACCAAAAGGCTGACTTTGAGGACTGCAAGGCTTAAGTTGCCATTTGGGACAGGCCCAGAAGCTACTTGCGACCTAACAGCTCTTACTTCTGGAGAATCTTCTTTCCTCTAAATATGAGTTACAAGCCAGGTCCATGAGGTGCTCAGCATTTTAAAAAAGAAATGGAATAATGACTGCACTAGTTTCTTACCTGAAAATGGTGCTCCCAGCAGGCCTCCCACACTCTCTATAAGCTGCAGAAGGCCAAGTGCTCCCAGCATGCGCTCCATCCCCACAATCTGCGGCACCACTGCAAACACCAGTGGCGTCAAGGCCCCGGCACAGAACCCATACGCAAGGCTGACCACCAGCAGCCCCACATAGTTTCCTCCCAGAGAACACAGTGGCAGCAACAAGAGAAAGACGCCTACTAATCCCGTCCAGGTGGTCAGCAAGTGGACTGTCCGAACGCGTTGCAGGTCCGAGGCCCAGCCTGATACCACACGCCCCAGAATGTCCGTCATGCCTGTAGCAGAAATGACGAAGGCAGCCTGGTACTCGCTGAAGCCAACGAGGCGACTGTGGGCCACCAGGTGGACATAAGGGATAAAATAGCCAGCATTAAAGAAGGTGACGGCCAGGCTGTAGGTGAGGAAGCCTCGGTGTGAGAGCAGCGACAGCTCAAAATAATCACAGGCACGGGAAAAAAAAGAGCCACAGCCACTGGACTTAGCGGAACTTTCAGCCTGAGTGAGGAAAAGGAAAGCAGCGAGAAAGAAAGAGAAGGAGAGAGATTTAAAAATCCACCTAAATTTTGTATGTATCCTGAACACACTGTCACTTACATATGCAACATATGGTTATGTGTGAAATTAATTCTTCAATTTGCTCTGCATAACACTACACTGAGATATACAACAAATTCACCTAGCCAACATGGTATTCCTGGAACAGGAATCAGGATTTTATTATTACTTATTTCATTATAATTTTATTATTATAAATACACTCCTTTTGCCAAAACCATTTACTTTATGGAAACATCCCTCATATACAAGTTAACTATAAGACAAAATTACCAAACCTTTCCATGACTCATCATAGACCAACTATGAGATTCCATGACCGTTTTTATGACTTTTACCATAAGTATATAGTGCTACAAGTTTTGATATTTTGTACAGGTTGCAACAGGCAGGTTTTGCACTATGCTGCTTTTTCAGAGGCTTCTTGAGCTGGCTGTTTGAGCAACGCTACACCGCAGCTATGAGGCTGCCTGAACTAGCCACTTGAGTGAGGCTGCACTGCAGCTACATGGCTGCATGGGCCAGTGGTCTGTTCGATGCTATATAGTAGCTAAGTGGCTGTCGGGGCTGTACACATACTTTAATAAACAAATTTAGCTACTCAGAGATTTCTTTATTTTAAAAATAAAACTGTTATAGTGATTCAAAATCAAAGGAAATGATGGTTCTTCAAGGGTTAGTAATGAAAATGAACACTCAAAGAACCCTTTGCCTGATTAAAGAGTTCTTTGCAGGGTTATATATAGAACCACCTACAGCATATTCTCGATCAATCTGAAGAACCCTTTTACAATGCAAAGAACCTTAATTTATGCAACGGGTTCTTTGAGTGTTCATGGTTCTATATAGAACCATTTCCTTACTAAAGAACCCTTGAAGAACCATAATTTTTAAGAGTGTAACTGCACTACTATCAAATTTCTCAGCCATGTCCATGACACATTAAAGCTCTCATGTTTCATATTAGCAAATAATATACAACAATTAGCTACTACATTGAATAAGATGGATCAATCTGTGTGCAGTCTGCAGACAGACCTTACTGTGGCACAGATTTGCCAGTTTATTAGGTACACGTACTACTCGCTGACTAAACACTGAGATGTAACTATAGTAACATACAATAAACTTGAATGGTGTCAACATTGTACAGCATTCATTTTTAACATTAATAGTTCTATGTATGAGAAGTTGACCCTGTGAGATCAGTCTCACTTTTCACATTGTAAGCTTTTTCGTTACGCTGGCTGCAGGTTTTCATTCCTGACAAGCAGGAGCACACGTGATTCCACTTGCTCGATCAGTTGGTCTCAGTCCTCAAACAACTGATCAGGTGAGCTTTGTTGGGATGAAAACCTGCACCACAGGCTTTTATTCTAAAAAAATAATTATTAATTATCCCTTTGCAGATATGATTGAACACCCCTGCTTTAAAGAGTCATTACCAGAAAAACTCAGTTTACAATCAGCCATGCATTTAAAAATTTGGACTTCTATACCACATGGCCTAGATACGAAACCATTCTGTATAATTAATCTCTTACCAGAGACAAAAAAAAATGTCAGAACTTTTAACCATTTGACCATCATAATTCATGACATCTCCAGAGTAAGTTGATTTTAAAATACCTCCACTTTCCCAGGTATTCCAAGATTGTGGGAATCACCATGTTTTTCGACTAAGCTCAACTATGTAGAGCGATTCTCCACTGAAAATCTGTTTCAAAAAGATGGAGCATTTGAATCCTACGACTGGTGGGAGTATGTCTACCATGGTCACTAGCCTTGGGGCAATAAACAATATTATTGAATTTCACGGTAACTTCAACCAGTGACGACATTAAGTAAATTATCGTTTTATTTTTTACGATGTACCCTTGCCATGTGACTTTTTTTGTTGTTCTTTGTATTTAACCATTGAGTTTGTACAAGCATTCTAAGCTATGGTAAGTTAAAATTTTAGACCTAAGCTATAACAGAAAAGACGGCATTTAAGTATAGACCAAACATAACTAATTAACTACAAATATACGTTTTTAAAACGCCACTTGAAAAGATTAGAATATAGCGTTTCAATCTGGCAAAGAATGCTGGGTATATGCAAATGAAACACTCCGCTACGTGTGACCTTCTCCCTAGACGGTGAAAAATGGATGAGCTTGTACAGAAGAAGGGCGTTACTGCGCCAGTTTGGCAATATTTTGGTTTCCAACCAGACGAACATGGAGAACCGTTAGATGTTAACAATGTTACATGCCGTCTATGCAGAACACTGATCATCACCAAAGGCGGCACTACTACAAATTTGCAAGCACATCTCAAGATACATCATCCAACTCCGTATGCTAAACTGGGTCCAGCACATAGAGAAGGCATTTCATCGAATCAATCAACAATCGCAAGTGCTTTCGCAAAATGCACAAAGTACAAACGTAACAGCACTATTTATCAGGGTCAGCTCATAGTCCTGATTCATTGAATGTGAGCCCTACCTGTGCCAGTCTGCCTTTTCCCTCTTAATGGGGACAAAGTAATAAAGCAATTTCCTATTTGATTCTTACACAAGAACAGAACAGCACAATCCACGTCACGTTTATCCTCGACAACCCCTGTGTACCACATTTGGCATCTCCACTGTGGAACAAAGGCAAGTAGACAAAACTATTCTGCTGATATAGGCCACATTCTGCCCAGCTGGGGGTGGCTGAGTTCACCTAATGTAAAGGGGGGGGGCTTTTTTGAATAAAGAGATCAGGCTCTGCTTTGTACAAAATTATGCTATAGCCTGAAATTGGTTATATCGTTGACAACAAAGTGTAGAGACCTACAAAATATCCTGTATATGTAGTTATTCATCAGGGAGAGTTAAATTGGTTTCAGAAAATTAACCCCTTAAAATTCCAGGCTTATTACATACTAAGGCTTATTATTTAGTAACAAAAGGGACTTCAATGCAAACTAGCTGAGCTATTCTTAGGTTGTAGACATGTGTAATAAAACACTTCTGGCCATTTAATTAATCAACTTCTTAACTGTGACCTGAATCAACTGAACTTTCACTTAGAGGCTCTACAACTTGGCAGTAATCTTTGTGCTATCAAACACTTTGGGAAAACACATCCTCAAACAGGAATATAGACCAGTACCCTTTCCACAACTTTGGGGGGTCCAAGAGGTCGAATTAGGGCTCCGCAGGCCATCATGTTGAGGCTGAGACCCCCTAGTATAAGCAGCGCCCCTCGCCAAGTGTACGTCTGCACTAGGTACTGGAAGAGTGGAGAGAAGGCGAAGGAGGACAGGCCAACACCCGTAAAGCCCAGGCCCATGGCCAGAGAGCGTCGTATGGTGAAATACTGCATCACTGAGGCCACACCAGGGGTGAAGACCAGAGCCCAGCCTGAACCTTGAGAGAGACAAATAGAGGGAAAGACAGAAAGTATATATACTCTAAATAATCACACAGGCATCTTGACCAGTCCAGATAAGCGTTTATGTGGGTGTTATGATGAGTTCAGGTGTTCATGTAATCTAACTAAATTAATCATGTTGGTCCAATTAATATAGGCCAGTCTTTAATCATAGACCTCTGTAGTTGTATCATTCATATAATGCCCATGTTAGGAACTCTGAGTCTAAGTTGGGTATTTCTATAACAGAAACAAATGGCAGAAATGAATGTTGCATCTTGTGTTAAACTAAAATGTTACAAAGCCAATAAGTTTTACTGCAGACATTTTTCCTCTATGCAACATCACTGGATCTACTGAATAATGAGGTTGTTAAGAAGTCAAAATATGACTAGGGCTGCATGCAAGCTAACACTGCTGCCCACTGAATTGACACAGACTGGCAACCTCACCAAAATTCCCCATGCAAACCAGTAAGCTTCATCAAAGGTGGTAGTTTAGAGGCTTTGGCAGCTATAAGTTGTAGTTTGAGTGGCTGGTGTTGGTATATAAAAGTATTCAAGGCCTAATCTCAGTTCACCCTTTGCCCCTGCCACTTAGCCCTTACCCCTCTGTTTTGCGTGTTTACGCCTAAGGGTAGGGTGTTCTGAGTTTTGTTGGGATAGAGGTGTAGGGCAAAATGTTAGGGCTACATGCCCTCCAAACTGAGGTTTTTCAAAAGCACACTCCAAGCAGAGTGTTATGAGAAAAAAAGCAAAACTGGCAAGATGGCTGTGCGAGTGCCCAAAGAAACCCACAAATGTGAGTATTTCCTCTGTTAAAATTTACGATAACCATTGCATTATCTTAGTTTACTGTTGTTTCAATGTAGTATGGTCCTTTTCTTCATAACAAGAATAAGAATTCACTAGTAGTATGCTGAAGTCTCGGTAGCAAGCTAGCTAAATTTCCTGTTCCACCTTAAATGGAGCAGCAGTTACATTCTGGCGCCTCAAAATTTGAACAAGCCGGCGATTAACTGACTTTAGCTTTATATCACCAAAGAATCGAAGGGATAGGTGATAATAGATAATTGTCGCATCCTCTCCTCTTTAAAGGCATATGATTCCTTAAATTCAACCAAAGCCCAGCAGCGAGGTTGCTGAACTTTACCTAAGAAAAGGGGATTGGGTCTAAAAAAGTAAAAAGCTTTCACGCAACGTCATTTCAATGCACAGATAGACAACCTTGTAATTCAGAGGATCCAGTGACACTTGGGGAAAAATGTACACAGGATAAAAACATATTGGCTATGTGTATAACGCTGACTACAGAATGGCACATGACCTCAGAGGTCTATGGTACATTAGTGACTCTCTGAAGTGTTTCATACAAACCAAGTAGAATGGATACCTGAAATGATTCCCATGGTGAGGTAAAGGTGGGTGAGTGTTGTGGCCTGAGAAGCCAGAATGAGTCCCAGTCCAGAAAGGAAGCCTCCCAGCATAATAACACGACGTGCTCCATAGGCATTACAAGCAGCTGTGCCTATAGGACCTACATGCACATGCATAATTAATATCATGTAACAAGTTAACCACATATGACTGTTGATTGTGGATAACAGCTACTATAGTCGTCTTGTTCATTCTGACATTGATTGCAGTCATGTAGCAGTACTCACTCAATAACTGTTGCATGGCCACTCCTATGGAGGTTATCCAGGAAACAGCCTGAGCACTCTCCTCAAAGTACTGCACAAATTCAACAAAGAAGACCCCTAGGCTGCGCAGGAGTCCAAAGACCAGTGCAGAGATCATGAAGAGTGCTCCCACCACCACCCAGCCCCAACCACCATCCGGAGCCCCCACCGGCTTGCAGGACTGCTGCCTCTGCTGCTTATCCTCATGCTTAGCCATCACTTCTGCAGAAAGTGGAAGTGACAGAGAATGAGACAAACAAAGGGAAAGAGAAAATGAGGTAAAGAGCATTTAAGAGACTGGACAAGAAAAAATTGGTTACTGTGACAGTTTAGGGACGCAAATCTCTGACCTCACATTGATTTGATTAGATTTTTCTTTATAACATTTTAATTAATAAATCTCAAATTTAACCACAATTCAATTTGATGTGATTATTTTTAAAAAGACAATGACTGGAAGAATTATGTATACAATAATAGAATATGGACCAAAAAATAAACAACACAGCAAGGTTTACAGGTGTAGTCTTAGACTGAAATAATTTATCATTTATAAGGGCAAGTGCTGTTCATGTGCTTGAGGTTTTAACTAATGTGGCGATAATCACAAACTGCCAAAACAAAAGGATCATTCACTTCCCCATGACTGTCTACTGTTTTCTCCCAAGGCTGTGTAGGAAACACAGCAAAAATGTCACAGGATTACAAATGAACTCACATGAGTACCAGCTAAAAAACACCAACTGTTCACATTTTTCTGCCATAAGGTCTGGGAAATGGCCATGTTTTGTGAATATGAGGAAAGTTCTGCTATAAAAATCTATATAAATTTTAGCTAAATAGTAGTTCTCCTGCACAAACAGAAACAAGCCAGTCCCTATAGGGCCTCTTCACAAATTATCCACAGCTGTTTACATGACCTTTGTTCCACTAACCTGACTCATAACCTGCTCATACAAAAATCATTTAAGCCTTGAGGGGACCTCGACTAATGTTTTACTTCAAGTTAGAAGAACCCGAAATCAAACAGTTCAAAGACACAAACGACATTATGCCTTCTTCAAATTCCAGCACACAGTTTTGAGCACTTGTGAGGTATGTGGTTTATTGTTTGTCAATTTTCCATACAAAAATTCAAATCAAATGAATCAGAATGAGAGCAGAGAAAAATAGAGAAGGTCTCATACTACACATTATATAGTTGCTGTCTAAAAGAACACTCCATTTCTATTGGTCTATTCATCATGAAAGTCTTACACAATGTAAAAGATAAATGCTGAGTTTAAATAACGAAGAAAAATAGAAAGAGAAGAAAATGGACATACATTTTTTGGACAGCTGAGATATGTTTAAAGAATCCAAACACACCTTCTAATTAGTGCATTCAGCTACTTTAAAGTGCACCCACTGCTGATACAGGTGTTCAATAGTGGACACACAGCTTGCATTTCCATAGAAAAGCATTGCTAATACACACATGAGCCTACCATGTCCAATGCCAAGCATCAGTTAGAGGGGTATAAAGCTCCCAGCACTGGGTCCTGTGGCAGTGGAACTGTGTTCTCTGGAGTGATGGAGCACAATCCAATACCTCTGGGTGAGCTGAAGCAATGTTTGTGATCCACAACTAATCATCCAACACTTGTGACTGAATGCAATGAAATCCTCAAAGAACTGTTCCAACATCAAGGCCTCCCAGAAGAAGAGAGGCTGTTACTACAACAAACTATTAATCCACTTGATTTTAGAAGAAATACTGAATGAGCAGGTGTCAAAGTCATGAATTTCCCAGTTTATGAAACTCTAATACTTACATAACCCACAAATCAAAGTATAAAGTATCTCTACATACACATGCAGAGAGCAGCATGAGCAAACCCAGTGTTACACCTGAGCCCGCTGATGTCTTCAGGAAATTACTAAGGCTACCAGGCCCTGAGGGACTAGGTCACACCACAGCAGGGCTTGTTGACTGCAGTTTCCTCAGTGACAAGTTTCTATAGTTTAGCCTATATATTTGTTGTTTCACATCCTTCACCTATGAATTATTCCATAACTATTCCATTAATATTGCACTGCAAAAAATATTTGGGTGAAATCATCTAAAATTTAGTCAATGTATCTAATATTGCTTATTATGAGGTTGTTATTAGTATATTATAACATCATATAACTTGTTTCTAGAATTTTTTGTTGTTAATTTATCTAGTGAAAATGTCTTATTCTATTGGCAGATACCATTATTTCTTGAAATAAGCAAAATTATCTACATTATATCTTGAAATGAGCAAAATGATCTTCCCATGGAATAAGACACTAAATAAGACACATGTTATTTCTCTAAATAAAATGACTTAAATACCTAATATTCTTACAACAGTGTTACAATGAGAAATACTAGATATATTGACTAGATTTAGTTTTCAAAGCCAAGAAAAACAAATATGGTTCTATGATTAATGTTCAGTTTTGATTGGGTCATTTTCACCAACACTGGACACCACATGCTGATTGTTCTGAAGTAAAAATAGAAGCATTGTTATTGAAAACTGATCAATATTAGCGTGATGTGCTACTCTAGCTTACAGCAAGACACGTTAAATAACCTTGGGTAGGGTTTACGAACATTATTTCTGTAAAACTAGCAGTGCTACAGCAGCTAAGAAGGCTGTTAGCAATTTGGAAAAGACTAGAGGCTCCAAATTACAGTCAGAATATTCAGAAATGTTTATAAACAGAGGGCTGTTACTGATGTCAGGGTTTTTTTGACCATCTGTGCTGGGCTGGTGCAGATTTATAGTATACCCACTTTTTTTTTGGACTACACCACTGTGTAAGGCCTCAAAAAAAGACAGGATATTCTGGAGAAATATTACCTCTATGCTTGCCAGGGGTCAGAACTAACTTGATGGTAGGGGTGGGTGATATGAACTCAAATTTCTATCACGATATTTTGTACTATTATTAAAGTTATATATTAATACTAATAATATATGTATATACTGGTGGCATTAGTAGTAGTAATAATTGTCTAATGGCCTCATGGCAGTGTAAACACCTAACTGATTAACACAGAAGCGTCTGCATGCAGCACTACAGTTTGTCTAAAACACTCTTTTGTTGAGTTTATAGGGTTATTGAAGCTGTTCGTGTGCATGTTTATCTCAGGACAGTGCTGTTTTTATTCATGGTATGTCAAAATTCATATCGTGAGAGAAAGTCTTCCTGGTAAAAAGAAAAAGATTATTTAGCTTGTTGCTCTGTAGATGCTTAATCGATGGCTGCCAGCCAACCAGCATGCAGGTCAAGACTTCAAGCCTGAAAAGAGAATTAGCTGATATTATAAAATAAAACTCAGTCATATTCAGAAATATCCGTTTCTGATTCATCTGTGATATGTATGTCAGTTTTGTTGACTGGATGAAGTAATCTCTGGTCCAGAAAGTAATTTATCTGTACCTACAGGCAGACCACTTTTCAATCCACCATAAAATCCTAAAACAGGACATTTCATTGAACCCAAATAATGCAGATACCTCTTAGAAACAGTGACAGCGTCTGAACCGTCAGCACACCAACTTTGTTTACTGTGCTTTCCCAGTAAAAACAACCACGAAGTTTATTCAAACAACTACACTCAACAGAGGAAATAAACACAACCTGGTTTAAATCGTTTAACAGTTTGCAATAATTTCGAGGTGGTTTTATGTCACTAAACTAAAGCCATTAAACGCAGCTCTTACTTTGTCCAAAGACATACGAGGTGATCATACATCCCGACTTTTACAGAAGCGTGGAGTGAGCTTAGGTACTGACCTTTGTTCCTGTCAGAGCGAGCTCCCGATGATGACACGAAAATGACACCAACTCGTAATCTTCATTTTATAACTTTTCTGCGTGACACTGTGTGTCCATCTCTCAGCTTTAAAAGAGTGACAGCCTTGCATTTGCACTGTCACGTCTAGTTCATTTGTATCAGTTCCAGCTGCTTCATCTCCCGGTCAGTCTCTCCACCGCTGGTGACTGACTGACTGACTGAGTCGGTGCATTTTGAACGTGGGCTTCAGCAAAGGCAGTTTGACCGACTGGCCGTGTTTCGCGGAAGAGCGGCAGTAAAGTCAGCCTTATCACGTTTCTGGTTTTGGATTGGCCAGAGAAAAAAAGATGTCTGTCTTGTATTTGCTACGATGCCGTTGTCCAGACGATGAGGACTGAGTCCTCCACAGACACTCTGCTTCTTCTCCAGGCAATAAATAGCACTGCAAACAGGGCGCTGCATTGAGACAAAAACGTTTCTGCTCTCACTTTGACAATTAGAGACTATTTAAACAAACATAGTCACAAAGACTGCATTATATAATATGCATGAATTATCAGCTGAATAGATAACGCCGTCTTCTCTTCAGTACTTCGCCGTCTGGGACTTTTATTTTGAAATGTCTAGTAGGTGAAAACACTTTGGCTTGACAGTTCGATTCGGGTAATCAAAGAAATAACGTTACATCTTACACAGCACCTGGGACCTACACTTTCTAAATGCACTGCCAAACTATTACTAACTATTATAATAACTATTTTGTTATATGTCGTGTTGTCACTATCGTGAGGCACAGCTGTGAGGGTTTCAGTCGATACTTGGTGCTGATTCTTTGTCCAAACGGAACTATTTGCCTCGACTGTGTTGCTCACGAAATAGCATATCTGAGCGCAGAAGATTAAGCCGGTCAGTCAGATTGAAGCCCATAATTTCTTGCTTACTCGACCATCCTATATCTTTTCCTACGATGTGCACACATAATCGACGACACTGTACTTAATATCACCGTCATTATTCGATATATCTGTAAGTATTTCTACTCTTTACAAATCCACGCGCGCGCACCTGCTGGTCCGATTGGCGTACGAATGATTCATTTAAACCGATTCGTGGAACGAACTGATTCACCAGTCTCGACTGAATCATTTGAACATCTTCACAGTGTTCAGGCGAGGTCCGTGTTATATGCTTCTAATACTATCTGGATTATTTTTAAAATTTAACACTTTATCAGTTCTTTCTGTCCACTTTAGGGTTAATTAACAAACAACCAAATGGTAAGTTCTCATTCAAATATCGTGCTCAAATAAGATTACTGTTTGATGCTTGGCCCTGTCTCCTGCAAAATTCTTACAGTTATTAGATTACAAAAGATTAACGTTAGTGAAGCAATCCAAAGCAAAAGAGAATTTTTATTTTGCTTTAAGACGTTTTGCTTAGTGTAAGTTTTGTTTCTTCTGAGGTAACCCCTTAAGTGGCCAAAACCTGCTGTGTTCTTCACTCCTTAACGGGGAATTCCACTGATTTTTCAAAATTTCTGCATTATTTTGTTGTTGACATGTAAACACAGTCATTCAGAGTGGTTTGATGTGAAATTCAAACTTCAAACTAGTTGCAGAAAAATTTACTGACTTAGATCTCTTTACAGTGCTCATGATAGGAACCAGGGGTCACAGTGTCTTCTGAGGTTTATAGGTAATGTTGATAGTAGTAATGTTCCTTTTCTGCCCTATAATGTAAATGTTTCAAGCCAAAACATTTTACATAATGAATGTCATAATGAATTAACAATGTCTCAGACATCAGACTGCATATTTGTTACCATTTCATGAAATAATTTGCTGTGACGGAGCTTTAAGTGGAATCAGTTCCTCAGACGTCTGGTTCCTGTCACCACCACTGTGAATAATTCTGACTCGGCATGTTCCCCTTTCAGAATAAGTCAGCCAGTTTACATTGCTTTCTATGTAGTTTTTGAATAATAAGCCTGAAAATAGGTCTGGAAAGAGGTTAACCAGAGCAGTGTAAGACCCTAATGTAACCCTGGGTTACAACCCTCTTGTTTGGCCTGTGGTTTATTTGCCATTCATATAGACAGAGTGAACTCAGCAGATTCGGGCTGTTTGCTTACGGATGACGAGATGTCTAAATGATAGGAGAGATTAATGCCACCGTCATGATTTCAGGAAGCACGTGAAGATACAGACATGTGAAGAAGTAAGTAAAAAAATTAGGCATTTTCAGCATACAGCATTTGGGTATACAGATATCCAGTCTTTATTTAAATAATGTTGAAAGACAGAAGTCATATAATTTGACAAGTGACACCTGAATTTAACATTTTTTTTGTCATCCTTCATGTAACTGAACAGAAAACAGAAATCCATTTTCTTTATGTGGAAAAAGTAAGCACCCCCCTACATATATCACTTCTTCAAATTTGTCAGATTGAAATCAGGTGCTAATGATTCGAAAATATCTTGCATGAACTTATTTTTAAACCTCAGATTTCCGTTCTAGTTTGCTCTTTGTTATTGGAGTTTGGGATATCATCAAGCCTATATTAAAAGAGAGGTGTTTCCAAAATATTAGAAATCAATCCTTCAGCTGTCTAAAAGATCATCTGCAAGTAGAGAAGATTTAAAAGCACTTCCAACTTGTCTAGGCCAGGCTGCCCCAGCAAATTTAGCCCAAAAGCAGACCATGAGATGCTAAAAGAAATCTTTAAGAATTTCATCACAGGATCTGCAGGCAGCTCTTGCCACTCTGGATGTCAAAGTACATCCATCTACCATTAGAAAAAGACTGCAGAAATTTGACTATGCCAGGAAGAAGCCTTTGCTACGGACAGACGAGTCAAACATAGAGTTGTACCAGACGCCATGTCAGCTTTTTTATTAGAAGAACCTTAGACTTATAGATCACCAGGACCAGGGTTAGGTCCCCAGGTGTACAGAACAGTCAGTTTTCAGACTCACCGGAGAGCAACTTTTTCCACCACAGTGGTTAAAATAGAGTTCTGGGTGAGGGCTCCAATATCAACATAAACATGTTGCTTCTGCCCTGAGCTGCACATGAATGACACAGCGTTTGCACCCTGCTTTACTTCATAGCAGGAAACAGGTGCCCTCCACTTCATTGTTCTTGGTCTAGCACCACCCATAGAGAAAAGGAGCACTTTAGAATGACTCAGTCTGCACTAGTGGTGATCTAACCAGAGGAAGGAAGGATGAGGAGGAGAAGCATTGTGTGTTTGGGGGCCCAGAGATAAAGAAACATGACTTAACACTTGAACTTTGTGACCGGTGCATTTACTGAAATGCATTGTAAAGGGAGCTGTAGATTTTCCTACCTTGAAATATGTGCTGTATGTGGTAAGTAGGCAACATGACAAAATGTTTTATTAGGTGCTTTCATTAATAAAGAGGAGTGTTATTCATATGATTTCAGAAATTGGAACGATGTCTAAGTTTCATTGATCCTTAAACAAGGCAACATACATAATGACCACAGACACTGCGTTTCTGATTGAAAGAAATTAATTTAATTTTAATTTATATAAAATAGGTCTGTCTTTGTCCAGCAAAAGAACGTTACATTTGACAACGTCAACATTATTCTCTTCATCAACCTTTACATTTACTTTGTCTGGCTTGTTTGAGTCCTTGGCCTGCTTGGACTCCTAGACTATCACAAACCATCAACAAAATATACTTTCCAATCAAAAATATCATTAAAACAAAACTGAGGATACTTCAACATGTTTAGTAGGGTTACTTATTTAAAATAAACAGGCTCCAGGCCTTTTAAGTTAGTACAGTGAAACGTTTGTTAGTGCACAAGTAACTAAAGTATAACATGTTTAGGCTGTCATTAAATATGAGAACATGGCAACCATTGACCTACTGACATACAGGCAAGCAAAAGACTATTTTCTTTCTCAAGAAGGAAAAGAAATCTAACTGGACAGTGCCAAATATGAATGCAAACATGGGGAAAAAACAGGGTTACACATTTTTTTTTTAAATGACTCATAATCAGAGCCATTTGCATAGCCACACTTCTACTCCTGGCAAAATTAAACATTCTAAGCACTCCATCAAAAACACTATAGACTTGCACATTCCTTTTTAAACAACATACAGACTCTTTCATCACACTTTTCTTTTCCAACACTTTCTGCTCTTCGCTTCTTAACCATCTTTACTTGCATTTCCTCGTTCTCCATCTGAACTCCTAACACACCTCTCCACATACCATCTACATTACTTTCTTTTTAAATCTGAAATTACTAATCACTTCTAATTGACAGCTGTATGTACCTTGTCATTTCTTCTATTTTTTTTTCTTTTTTGCTTTTGCCTTTTCCCCACACATTTCCTGCTAAAACTTGTGAGAAAGAATGTTCAGCTGGCCAAATAAATAAAGTAGAAAGCATGATAGGTAATAAAAGTTACAGTCAGCACGTCTAGTGCAGGAGAACAGCATTTCTGGAAGGCTTTTGTGTGTTATGGTACATGTCTGCTTTCCAAGAATGCTGTACTCCACCTCTTTATATTAAACAAGCTTAAAAGCCTCATAGTTAATAATACTTTTCATGCTCTTCTCTTCATATAAATCTCTGGTGAGCCATTTCAGAAGTCCCTAGGTACAGACATCCAGCGACTCTTTTGATCTCTTTTGACAGAGTTGAAACAAGACCAGATTTCAGGCCCTGGAAGTGGCGAAGGTTCACCACCCTGGACGAAGTTAAAGGGTAAGGAATTGTCTGAATTGACTGAGTATGTGTTGGATCCCTCAGCAGCTCTGCAGTATGGCTGTTCCAGTCTGGTACGGGTCTGCCAGAACCTTATAGCGGATCTTGGTGTTGGTGACAGCTCCATGCTTCTGCCTCAGGTGCAGCCTCAGCTGGCTCTTATGACGAAAGCGCAAATCGCACTTCTCACACTGGGAAGAAAGAGAGGGGAAACCGATTACATTAGAAGATTTGTGAAATTCAGCACTAATATAACATTGCTGTCATAACATAACCTTGTACCTCTTAAATGATCTTTGCAACCACATTCTGAATCCAGACCTATTCTTAAGGCCTGGGATGAAACACAAATACGTTGGTCCCTATTTATCATAGTTGAGTAAGAAAGAGTGCAGATTTGACCTCTTTTAATAATGTACACACTACTCTGCGTCTGATTCAAGGAAGTTCCCTTATTTACATATCATTTACATGGTGCATGCCCTGTTTCATGCAGATAATTTGGTAGGAAACCATCAGCAGTGAGCAGCTGGTGAGCCAATAGCTGTGCTCGTAGGTGACGTTTGACTGCCCCCCCTTTTGTCCTGACTGCCATGTGCACAGATTATTAGTGCTATTGTTATTTTCCATTTTTATTCTTATCATTGGAATTGACATTTCTACTTCTACTCCTACACCAAAGATGATTAATGATGAATAGCAATACTGAAATAGCAACAGTGAAAATTGTGTGCGCTCATTTTTCGATCAGAATTGACCATACTCAGATTTGATAAATAAGGGCCAAACCTCCTAATGAATAATGTCCTAAACCCTCAATTGGAGATAAGGGACATTGTCGTCAAACCTCTCGCACTACATCTTATAAAGAGGAGGGGCCATGGGAGGAGTAGTAAGTGTTTGACCATGCCCCCACCGCTACCAGTGACAGGACAGACTCAATACCCAAACCCTCTGTGGAGACCTGACCAAAGACTGGACATGGGCTGAATGATGTGTTTCACACAGTGTAAAAGGCAGCTGGTGCAGCTGTTGTTTTCAAACAGTGTGATTTTATTAATGGAGTAGAGGGGAAAAACTGCATAATTACATAAGTAAGGTGTAAACAAAGTCATACACACCAGTTTAGTGTTAAATGCTCCTTTCTTTAGAAAGTCAGAATTGTTCACAGCGGTGGTGATAGGAATCA